TGTTCAGGGTATTAGGGACAAAATCACTGACTTAGAGGTACTTCTGGAGGAAACAGAGGCTGATTGCTTTTGCACAAATGAGCATTGGCTCCAGTCCGATGAGTTTTTACAACTAAAAATAAAAGGCTTTATAGCCACTACTAGCTTTTGTAGATCTGATAAAATACATGGGGGTGTGGGTATTTATCTCAGGGAACACTTAGAATACCAAGAGCTAAATTTCTCAAAAATTTCGAGAGAGTTGCAGTGTGAGGTAGCTGGAATCCATGTTCCCTCTATACACACTCAAATACTAACAGTATACAGATCTCCTAAAGGAGAACTTGATGCATATTTGGATATTTTGTCTCAGGTTCTGGAAAAAATTGATAATACAGGTAACATCATAGTCACAGGTGACTTTAATGTGCACTTTGAACTCCGCAACTGCAAGGAGGCTGATTACCTCAATTTCTTTTTCAGCTCCTACGATCTGTTCCCAACAGTGAACTTCCGAACGAGGGGTGAAGCTACCCTAGATAACATTTATGTAAACTTCAACAGGTCCTGTCTGGATCTTACTCCTCTAGCTCTAGAGGGTATCTCTGATCACTCGGGAGTAATTTTCAATACCCCAATAAATCTGTCCTCCAACCCTTGTGAGAGAATTACTTGCAGGCCAATTACAGACGGAGGTCTTTCTTCCCTATATAATCTATTGCAACAGTTTAATTGGAATACTATAACAGGAAGTAATGAAAATGCAGAAGACCAGCTCTGCACATTTTTCAAAATTTTGACCAATGCTATGGACATAAGCATGCCACTGAAATCTAAAATTGTCAGAAAAAATCAACAAGCTCCTAAAATCAATTGGTTCAATGAGAACCTCAGGGACATGAGGGGCAGATTACAAACACTAAGCCTCCTAAACAAGCAGAATCCAATACTGGTACCAAAAAAAATGGTTTCTGATTACAAAAAACAATATAGGCTAGAGCTAATTGATACAAAAAAAGCAGCACACGATAATTTCATTAATAATGCAACAAATAAGCAGACGGCTATGTGGAGTATCATAAAATCCCACAAGAATGTTATTTCGGCCCCTCAAGCCAACCACCTAAACGCTCAGATCTTTAACGACTTCTTTGTGTCAATAGCAGATGAGATAATTAATAACCTTCCCGCCACAAACAACTCATACAATGACTACCTAACAGATTCATACACTGGAGCTTGCTTCAAATTTCACTCAGTAACACAAAAAGATATCTCAGATAAGATATCTAACCTTAAAAATAGCAGTAGCAAGGACTGCTATGACATTAATACTAAAATCATTAAACATCTTAAAGACATTATAAGCAAACCACTGACCGACTTGTTCAATATCACTGTATTCGCACTAGCAAATTTCCCTCTGTTCTCAAATTAGCAAAAGTTATACCTATTTTCAAGAATAAGGGGGATCCCGAAGATCAAACAAACTACAGGCCAATATCCTTATTACCAATAATCTCAAAAATTTATGAATCCATATTGAAAGACCAAATGAACAACTATTTTGAGGCCAACAACATCTTTACCACAAACCAATTCGGCTTTCGTAACAGAAGAAGCACTACCTTAGCTATTAACAGACTAACTGAATTTGTTTCAGAGGGTTTTGAGAACAAGCTCAATACATATGCCTCTTTCCTGGACCTGACCGTTGATTGATATATAACGCTTACAGCGTAAGCATAATATATCAATCAACGACCTGACTAAGGCATTCGACTGCATATCCTTTGAAATTCTTTATAAAAAGTTATTCTACTACAACTTCGATATGAGCAGCGTATCCCTTATCCAGTCCTATCTTGAGGAAGGGGATCAATATGTTCTGTTTAAAAATCACCCCCCAGGAATAAGAGGGATTCAGCATGGTGTCCCCCAGGGCTCAGTGTTGGGTCCCCTGTTGTTCCTTGTATATATCAATGACCTACCAAATATCAATAATCTAATGAATTTACTGATAATCCTATTTGCTGATGATACCACATCATTGTTACGTTACCATCCCTCTGATCCAATTCTGCAGTGGACTCAAAGCAGTCAGGTCCGAATTGAGAACTTCTCCACCGAACTTAGAAAGTGATGCATCTGTGAAGTTTCTGGGGGTTCACCTAGATCCTGGACTGTCCTGGGAAACACATATCACTCAGCTCAGCTCCAAACTGTCTAGAATCACCTTCTTGATAAGGAGTCTGTCAAGAAGTGTCTCTATGAGCACATTATTGACGACATATCATGCTTACTTTAGCTCTACCATGACTTATGCAATTTTGAACTGGGGTCACTCCCCAAACTCTGCTCAAATTTTCAAGTTACAACGACGTTGTGTTAGAATTATTGCAGGTATCAAATACCGCGAATGCTGTAGAGATGGCTATGTTAGGCTGAGGCTGCTCACCCTCCCGTGCGTTTTCATTTTTCACTGTCTAGTATATGTGAAACAAAATCGGGAAAACTTCAGAACACACAGTGATTTTCATTCATATTCTACTAGGGGGGGAGGGAATCTGGTGCCCGGCTACCACAGGCTGCAACGTACTAGAAGGGGAACCGATTATTATGGCATCAAATTTTTCAATGCTCTACCGACAGATGTTAAGCAGCTAAATCTAAATAGCTTCAAATCTAGAGTCAAAAACTATCTCCTAAGAAACGCCTTCTATTCCCTCGAGGAGTACCTTGAGAGTAACTTAAGGACATTTTAGTTTTATATGTAAGACCTATTTTAATATGTAACACCTATTTTAATATGTAAAACCAATTTTAATATGTAAAATGTGTGTCGTTAAATCCACTTTTTAATTTTCAAGTATTTTCTTACTATATTATTATCATTCAAACAAGTTCTATACTTTATATACCCTATTGACCTGTAAAAGCACTATGTGTTATACTTTACCAATAAATAAACTAAACTAAACTAAACTTGGTAGAAAGACACACTTTACGCCTCAAAAATCAGTAAATAATGGCAGGTTTTATAACTATTGGTGGAAAAATGGATATAAGAACACAGTCATAGTTTTTCTATGCTCTGTCTTTAAAAATTCATAATGTAGTGATTATGTAATGATAATCAATGTTTCATGAAACCACCTTATAAGTAGAGATCAGTATGGCTGACTATTGAGAAATAATATAGCAATCAAGATATAATTCATCTTTTCCTTTGTGAAATAGTCTGATAAAATGCCACTTATAAATCAATTCATCTCATAAATCTGTCTTTCATTCCTAAGCTCAACTAAATTGCTTCGAGAGAAGACCATGCACCAGTCGTCCTGCAGACTCGTGTTGTTTTCTCGATCAATTCAGTTTCGTTCAGAAATAGAATAGAATAGAATAGAAAAATATTTATTGTAATAATATAATTATTACAAGAGGGGTACGTTCGCATAAACACGTTCTTCCACGCCCCCTTTACCAGGTACATTCAAGTTAAGATAATTACAAAACAACAAAAATCTAATATCAAATACATAAAAACGATCTAAAATTAATGAAAAAAAAAACAAAAACAAATAATATATATACACATTAATATCATTCTAAAACTATCACAGATGGTTTGATTCATTGGATTGTCTTGCTAGTAAACTATCCCTGAATAATGTTTTGAAAGAAACAAATGACCTACCTTGCAACATATCAAAATTATCGATATTATTCATAAAACTGACTGATAGATGAGCAAAGCAATCCTCAAATTTTGATGTTTTGTGCTGGTGAATATCGTATCTCCACATATTTCGAAGTTGTCGATCATGAATTTCATTTCTTGGGATAAGATAATTATGCAAATATTCTGGTTTTTTGTCAGTATAGATTCTAAAAATATATACAGCAAAAAACATTTGATATCTGTAATTTGTTTTAAGATGTTTATTACGATTGTAAATAGCAGTAACATGATCAAACTTTCTTACGTTGTATACGAATCGCATACAAGAATTCTGAGCCAACTGTAATTTATTTTCAAGTTCAATTGTCAGGAAGCTGTAGTACACTGTCATACAGTAGTCAACTTGTGGATGAAGGAGAGTCTCAACTAATTTATACTTGATTTTTTGAAATGAATCGACATCAGACTCATCGCGACAATTCAATCACTTGTGGCATTATTATTGACAATTTGGTGGTTTGAGAATTTTGGAGGAATAAAATTACAAACGAGGAAGTAATTTTCTCTCGAATTTTTCGGTCCTCGCAAGATACGCGATAGGGTCACGGTTTCTGCCTACTCATGAGACTGGACGTGGACGATGACTGGACCTCCGAGTTTGAGAGTTCGGGAGTTCGTTTCCTGGAAATAGTGGATAACGGTACATTGGGACTACGGAAAGCGATTACGAAGGTATTTGTTAGCAATGTTAGCCCAATAAAGTGAGGCGCGTGGCTTTCAAGGAAGCAAGGACGCACTCTAGTAAGGACCATAGTGGTCTTTTGTAGTTGTTATACTTGTGAAGCCGGGCTATTTGAGGCTAATATTGTGACTTCACTGGCAGAAGATTGCATTTCATGTGGAACTGAGAGTATACAGGATATTATTCTGGATTACCAAGGGGTACTATTTTCATATTTTTGATAAGAAGGTTGATCCAGGAAGTACAAATTTTGAGAGCTCATTTGCTCAGGGACCAATCATATTTTGTCAAATAATCATATCTGAGTGAAATTTGTAGGAAACATTTAATCACGGAATCACCCACTAGTGAAGATAAGGCAAGTAAAGCATCCTGGCCAGATCTACGATTCCTGGAAGAAAATGGTGTCTATCGATGAACCAGTGTCTTGTTGCATATCATAAAATATAGTCTATTTGTCTTGCAGCAATCTATCCCTTTGTGCTCTAAAAATAATCAGATATCTTCTGTTGGTTGTATACATACATAAATATATTCACTGCCAATTCAATGATCACTGTGGTATAGTGTGAGGTGTAGGGAATAAAAAGCGATTCATAACTATGTTTTCTATTGTTCAATATATTTTAGGGCCTAAGTGCTAAAATCAATTAGAGAAGAGAGTTAACTTTCTCAGCTAATTGCAAATTTTCCAGTAGAGAAACATGGTTACCCTCAAAAGTGAGTATTTCTACCGGGCCACATAAATCGGTGAGACCAAGATCATCTGGACATTTCACAGTTTCCACTGTAGGTTTACACACTATTACTTTGGAACGTATGCCTGACATAGTGGGGGTGTATTCTCGCATTGCTTTAGCTCTATTGGCTATTCCTACACATAGGTTCTTCAGGATATCATTGGAAATATCAGACTTAGTTGAAAAGATGTCTATTGCTTTCTGTACTTTTTCATCAATGTTATCACATTTCCCGAGAGTTTCCTGAAAAAACAAAATGTATGTAAAAGTAAAAAATACACATTTTTTTGTCAACCAGGTCGCGTTACTGAGACGTGAGGTCAGAGTTGGTAGAACTGATAGGTTTACGTTTTTTCTCGTGCCATTTGGCATCTTTCTATGAGATCTTCCCCTCTGTCAGAAAGGTTGGTCACGTGTGTGTCAATTCGGCTTCTGCATTGGTAGAGCAAGTCCGATAAAATTTAGTAAACAAAAAAATATCGCTGTAATACAGAAGAAAGCGTGAGAATAGCCGATTCTGATTGATTCTAGAGACCAAGTGTGGAATAGGCAGAAATATCATATAGAAAAACTCAAGTTATGGTAAAACCTGAGCAGCCTTGCCTTTATCACTCTCAATGTGGAACTCCACGCGCATTCCTTATATTGACAGAGAAGAGGCCAAATGATATAAACAAAAAGTACACTTATCAGTGCTACCAACTCACGTCGCAGTAGCGCGATCTCGTGTGCAATAAAATAGTGCCCTCATTGGATAAAAGTATTATAGTAACAGGTGATTATCTTATTTTAGTAATAGTTCTTCCGGAAGTGCAAATCATATAGGTATAGCTTATTATATAACGTGAGTTATCAAGAAGGAGGGAAAGTAGATGTGTTAAATTGCTCCTTCTCCAGCCAGACGAAGCAGTATAGCAGAAAGGCAGAAATAAACTAATGACAAAATAACAAAGTTCCTTATTAATCCCCTGAGAGGAAGTTGCTCTCGGAAAGCACACAATACTAGCGGGATTGAATGGGTCACTGCATTCTCGCAGGGGTATTTCGTAACCCTGAATCACCTCGTAACTTTTCATAAATAAACATTTTCGGGACCACCTGAAACACTTGTCTGGGTGTTCGATTCACTCTCTCCAGTTCTTTAGGGTTTCGTCCAATCAGCACTCTGATTTCGCACAACACAATATGTTAGCAATGTGTGCCATTTTCGTTCACTAGTGGAAGCTGAGAAAGCTATGATTTTACAAGACATGAGACCTGACTAAACCTGAACAATTGAAGCTAATAGTCAAGCGCTTACACTGGCTGGATATAATACTAACTAAGTCGTGGAATGCATCCATCCTTCCCAAAGTGGTCCAACATTTTTTTCCAAAGAAAAAAGCAGTATGACACAATTAGATCGATCACGAAAATTATATTTAAAAATCAAGTTTGTGACTAGTTTTGGCTCAACGGAAATCTTCAGACACATAAAATACCTATAAGAAGACATGTGGAGATGAGCATAAATAAAAGCTAGGTCAAAAATCGGAAAATCAGGCAGGTAATTAAGTATAATGTTCTTTAAATCGACTGAATAGCCAAAAGAACAAATCAATAATGCAATTCAACATCGGTAGAGCAGCAATTGAAAATTTGAAATTATTAATCAAAATTCACTCAACAAGAGTATCATCATCACTGGTGGCCATTTGACAAAATCATCTCCTCATGTCTTCTTAGGTATTTTATGTGTCTGAAGATGACCGTTTAGTCGAAACTAGTCACAATGTCAATGTAATTATACTACGGCTATAACACAAAATTGATCTTGTTTTACTGTGTTCGATACATGAATGAGGTACTTTGTATGTCATAAATTTTATTTCCGTATGTGATATCACAATGACTCCATTGTGTTATGATGGCTACAAGCCCAAGGAATCGAAAATGCCGCTGTTATCTGCTACAGCCGTAGAAAAATTATAGTGTATAACTTCCACGGAATGCTAGTTTCCTACTCGAATGATTGCAGCATTCGCAAACTTCATTCATCATAATCATTCCGTGCTCGTTAAACAATATACTATTTTCTACAACCGCTTTACAAAGTAGCCTTCGACTCATTCAAATACCAACACAAAATTGACGTTTTCCCAGAAATGTCATTCTTTGACAGCATTTGCGCTCATGAGCGGAAATATTGAAAAAACGATCGCATATCATGATGGAAAATCGTGACAGTGAACTATCAAACACACCTCCTGATATAGTAGAAAGTGCAAAAGTTGTAACTTTGAATCTCTTACCGGAGAAATCAAGGAAGAAATATGAATTACAATATGATACATTCATAAATTGGTGCCACTCCAAGAAGGTGAATAAGTATTCAGAAAACGTTTTACTGGCTTATTTTGGTGAAAAATCAAAGACTTTGAAGTCATCAACTCTTTGGTCTATATATTCGATGATACGTACATGCTTGAATGTTAAAAATAATATCGAAATCAATAAGTATCCTAAACTTATCGCATTTCTCAAGAAACAATCTGTTGGATATAAAGCGAAAAAATCCAAAACATTCACCGCTGAAGATATCAACAAATTTCTTCAAGAAGCTCCCGATGAAGAATATCTGTTAAAAAAGGTAAATTATATACTTAATGATAGAACGTACAAGCAGTTGTCCTGCTGGAAGCGCTTCCAGAAGTACTTTTGTACTGCTGGAAGCGCTTCCAGAAGTACTTTTGTACGTCCTACTGGCAAATTCGAAATTCCAATGGACGTCCTGAGGATATCCATGGGACATAATTGTGTTATCAGGGTATAACATGGGGGTAAAGTGCGTTATTGTCCCTTAAATGATTACAACCCTCCGCTACGCCTAAATTTCATTCTCGGGAGGAAAAGTATAGCACTTTCCTCCCTTGTCATACAAATCGCTATTATTCATTCTCATTTAAAACCCCTGTGGTTCCAATTTTTGAGGCATATTTATCGATAAAAGTCCCCTCATTTTGCGAGTCTCGTCACCTTTTTTGATTATGGTATGAAAATCTGGACAGCACCCTGTTAATGTAGATAACTGCAGGTGTGTTCATTTGAGATTATATCGGATTGGTCAAATATGAATACTTACGATTTCCGTGTCTGAAAAAGGACAATCCAATATTCCACATAAAATATTTATTCCAAATTCAGTTTCTGAATAGTTGTCGAATGACCTCAACAGTTCTTTGGAGTGTGTAGGAGACCCATCGAGAACAACTAATATCCCTGTATAACCTCTAGATTCCAGAGTACTTATGACTTCCAGAGCAACAGAAACTCCATAGGAGTATGCAATGAAGAAGAAACGTTCGCCTCTTTTCAGTTTCCTTTCGATATGCTGTAATAAAAAAGTTCTTGAATAATTTCTCGATAGATTGTGCCATTGATGTTATAATCAAGGAAGAAGTAGGAATCATATTTCAACCATATTTCAACCACCACAATGGTCGAACTTGAAATAAGCCTAGCTAACCAACATTGAATTGTTTTAGAAAAACTAGATATTAAACATTTGAGTCCTAAATTATGATATATGTTATTCTTCCTATCCATTCGTCTAGACTGATTAATTGGTAATACCAATCACCATTTTTCATCAATGAAGTATAACTGAACTATACAAACACAGGGTGATTCATTACTAATTGGAAATATTCCAACTATAGAATGCTGAACTCAAAATATGATGAATCGACCCAAATCACCTAGATGAAATGTGTCTCCTGTCTGAGTTAAAGGGTGTTTCATTTGAAAATGTAAAAATAATTTGTGTCCAGTTCTTTGAAACTATCCGACGTATTATTGTCATATTTGGTGGGGAGTGTGAGTACCATACTGAATTATGTTGAATGAACGTTACTGGCATGTACCAGAGGCGTACGACAGGGGCAAGTGACTAGTTGATCCCTCCCAAATTCTACTCCACTGGCGAAATTGCAATTCTATCAGTATTTTTGATTCTTCAACATTTTTTACGTAGATATCGTAATCATCTCTATGGCGGTAAGATCATTATTTTATGAGATACAGGTATCTCAAATTTGATGTGTATTAATCATGTCGATATTTTGAATCAATGGATTGCAATGGATGATTGCAATTTATTGAAATTTTTGAATATAATATATTGAAGCACCCTGTAACAGCTCCTGGCTTCTATTATCATGTTTTCATTGTTGATATGGATTGAAGTTTCATAAGATCGACGAATGCGATCCATTGATCCAAAATATCGACATAATTAATAAACATCGAACTCAAAATAATTGTATTGTGTAATTTGAAATATCTCGAAAAATAAAGACTTCATCGCTATGAAAAAGGTGTACAATAACTACGTGAATATTGTTGGAGAATCAAAAAATTGTGATAGGGATCAACCAGTCACTCGCCCCAGGCCTACGCCTCTGGTAGTAGCCAGAAACAGTCATTTAATATAATTTAGAAGGGTGTATAGTAGTTCCATCCTCCACCAAATAGGACAATGATACGTCGAATCATTTTGAAGTACTGGGCACAAATGATTTTTAAAATTTCAAATAGAACACCCTGTAACTCAGACAGAACACACATTTTATCTAGGTGATTTGGGTTGAATCCTCATATTTTGAGTTCATTATTCAATAGTTCAAGTATTTCGTATTATTAATGAATCACTCTGTAGATAGTGATGTATATACATATTATACACATATTGAAATTTCGTTCGGTATTAAATAAAACTTCTTATTGTCTGTTGTTAATAGCTTTCGATGTTCCTTTCTTATTGAGTGTAACACTCTCTCTTGGAGCGACCGAACGCGAATTCCTATTAGTTCGAGAAAGATCGTGCGTACCTAGGGAAGATAGGGAGAGGAGGTACTAGGTAGGTATTGGATTCTTTCTCGAACTTTTTGAGACCAGTCTCAGAAATAGTTCCTTGGACAAAGAAATCCAGAGCTTTGCAGTTAATATACACAGGCTGACTGACAAAAGACGCTACGAAACAGGAACATATGTAATGACCCTTCAGTTACTATGAGTAGGTATATCAAAGACTGAAACTTTTGGCACGATAATCCACTATACACTGTTTTACCACTAAGCAAACCGATTTTTTGAACGATTCGATACATGTTTCGCTAACTGTTAGAATCTTCAAATTTGAATTATAACGTCAGCGACTGTCAACTTTTTTCAAAAGGTTTCTGAAACTGTTCAATAATTATTATACCCATCCAATCATTAGCAGTTGGTACTACCTTCAGGTCATAAATATCTATTCTTCGTGAGAGATTGTGGAAAGAATGGTAAAATGCCAGATCTATAGATCGATAGTATCTGCCAAGGCATCTATCTATCTCTTCAACTGATAATAACTTTGATACGTTTTCTGATTGCCACACTACTCGATTATCAAAGCAATATCAACGTTACTGACACTAATTGACTTCCTTTTATTTCTAGGAATCAGGATCATGTTCAAGCAAACATATTTTCCTCAGTAGGTCTTGATAGAAACGACGAACTTGCTGAACAGTCTATCAGCTTTAAGCAGTATAGAGTTATTCCCAAACTCTAAGTTAGTGATCAAAATAATATGCGTAGAAACAAGTGATGTATGCAAAGTTGTCGACATCTTTAAATGAAGTACATTTCTTATTTATCAATCAATTCTGGTTCTTCGATAATCACATCTCGTACGGATAGGTAGGTACTCACCTCCAAATGTGAATTTGCCATATCCGAAATTGTATCCAACAGTGTACCGAAGTTGTACGGGTAAAATAATACGTGAGCATCTATATTTAGTGCTAAATCCCTCAGTACTTTCGAAGTTCCTTCTACACCAGGAAACATGAAAACTGTTGGACCTGTCTCTTCAGCACTCAATCTAGATTCGAGTTCTAAATTATCCTTATATAGATTTTCGATGTCAAGTACTGCATCTTTCGTGCTTCGATGCTGTTTCTGCGCAGTTTTGGAATCATCTGTGGAATCTTCTTTACGTGACTCTTGTATCTTCATCAAACTGTGGAGAAATGTAAAAATAATTCCAATATAATATCGATATACAATTTGGATTAAAGGAATATTATCTCAATATTGAATTTACTCGGCCATTACTTGATCGAAATCCATGGTCAATGTAGAAGAGCCAATAGACAATTACACACTTTTAACCGATAAATTGATGGTATTCATCCATACCTACATATAATTCACAATGAAAATATGAACAGAAATGATAAACATGATTCGTCAAGTTCCCATAAACCTTCCCACACTGATATCACTATTCATATAATGATTCAACAATTTCAAGAAAGAACACAATATCATAAAACAGATCGCAGTCAACAACGGATACAACATTGATTTGATAGAGAGTATTCTTTCTAGAAAACTCCGTAATAAAGTAATGGGCGTGTACACCTTAGTAGAACTTTTAACTCAAACCATGTTTATAATGATCCTTTTATACATAAATAATGATTGACGACATAATTCGATAGAAAAATTAACTGGGATGTTTTATTTTTGGACATAAATAATAGTACCTTCTGAAAACGGACCCTCCTATGACGTAGAAACCTCATCTCGCCATAGTTAAAAGAAAATACCAAACGCCTGACGGAGACTGAGGCAACTGATATATTAATTCTTTCAACTGTGATCTCGCGCTAATTTACTCTGTCAGAAATCATGTATCATTCATCTCTGTCTGGAATAGTCTTGTTTCAGTATTAGGGTTTTGACGTCACATCATCGCCTCGTTTTCAGAGGTCCGAAAAATCGGGGATCTTAATAATTTTTTATAAAACGTAGGGAGCTCACAGCAAGAAACGGTTTGCGGTGGTGAGCTAGTTTGGGTGAGTTCTATCGAATTATGAAATAAAATTTTTTTGTGATATAAGCCCATTCAAGAAGTTTATCCTACCATCAAGAACAATAATCAAAATTATAGAACTTCAACCTATATCGGATTATCAACTGAAAAATTAGCTTCATTATAAACAGAACTTGAATATTGCCTATATAGAACGAATAACACGTCGGGAAGGTTTCTCAAAAATAATAGAAACAAAACATCTGAATTCGAAAATTCAGGGGTAAGTCCAGACAGGTCGAACGTTTAAACAGAGCATTCAAAATGCAAACAAATTCAACATACCCGAACCATTTATTAGAAGAAAACTATAGTTTTGCTGATGATTTCTGTATTCTACACGTGGAAAATAAAGGGATGAAACTCATCATTTTGAATCATTAGAAATCAACAAACTCGAAAATTCTAACATTTTACTTAACGATCAATTAGACCTCAATAGTTCACCACTGTTGAATTTGTTTTATTAGTAGGTAATACTATGTATTTGATAACAAACCTTTCAAGTTAATTGGTTACACCGTATCTTAATGTAGATATTGTGCCTATTTTCCAAAAATGAAGGTTTATAATCCAACCTATCATGTTGGGGAAGTAGAATATAAATGATAGGCAAGCCAATGTGAGTTTACTTCACTTACCTATCAAGAGTTAAATTCCTTATTTCTTTGCTGGATAAGAAAAGTTCGAAATCTCTTTCAAGAATTTGTTTGATTTCGATTGCAGTCATAGAATCCATGCCAAGCTCTGCTAATGTGGAATGAGAGCTAACCGATTTGACATCAGTGATACCTGAAAGAAAAAAAAAAGATTACTGTTCTATCGTCCTGATCAATGGCATATCTATCTGCAGGGTGGCTCACGAGCTTTGGCGAACCTGATGTATACAGGATGACCCATCTAAGTTACATTTTCCCACTCATAGAGCATCCTACTATGACGAATTCTTATATATAATTCGACAATCCTCACTGTTAAGCAAGAAATGAAAGTTTATTTCAACGGCTCCTAAGATGTAACAATTTTTTTTATCGCTTGGAGCGCACGAAAGGAAATCCCTATAATGTTCAAAGAACATCGTGCGTTCACAGAGAGGATAGGGACAGGAGGTAAGTATTGGAATTTTTTTAACTTCTGGAGATTATATGTTGTTGAGAATACTTCCTCAGGCAATGAATTCCAGAGCCTAGCCGTTCTATAGATGAAGGAGTTTTGATAAATTGCTGTTCGACATCTTTCGTGGTTGACAACGAAAGAATGTGCTGACTGGGCTTGTCTAGTTCGTCTGACTGGTATTGCTAGTGAAGGGATGATAGCAGAGATTTCCGAAGAACATTTCCCGTGGAAGTATCGATAGAAAAGTGAATGGTCACTGACCTTTCTACCGGTGTTTCAATGAGTGAGTGAGTGTGGCGTCACTCACCAGGCGAATGGCTGTTCTCTGGATGGAATCTAAGAGCATCAGCGTATATGTTTTTGTGCTGAACCCCATATGTTCTATAATTTTGGGGAGCCCTGTGATTTCAATGGAGGAGGTTTGGCCAGGAAGGCGATTTTGTTTACAAATCGAACTTATTTTGATCGTGAATACGTGACACATCATTTGAATGCCCAATTGTTTTGTTCTACACGCTGTCACTGATATCACTGTCAGTTTTTAGTAGTCACTGAATTAGCATGTGCTGAAATAAGCCTTGGCTGAATTCCTAGCCTCGCTACGCTCGGCTATGAACTATCAGCCGCGGCAGTCTATCTATTACTTTTCTGTCTAGTAAAACAAATAGCTATTACGCCCGAAAAATTGGATGCTAGTGTCTGATAGTTATTTATTAGTGTATCAAGGGCGTGAAATGGGCTTTTGTGGATCGTAGTGTGTGAATTAGAGCTCGAGCGATATCGAGCGATGAAAAAAAAAAACTAATTATATATTTTTCATCAACTTTGACACCCTGACGTAACTCAAAATTCAGAACTTTTGTTTTTAAATACTTTTTTATTATCTGTAGGCGCCCTATCAGCTCTCGAAGCGCGTCCCACATATTACGAAACACCCTGTATAATATAGTCTAATGTGGTTTCATCAAAACAGAGGCAAGTTCTCATCTCATCAAGAGAGCAAAAAGTTACGCAAGAATAAAAATGCTAGTTCGCCTTTGACAAATTCCTCTAGTATAATGTTTAACTAGCTTGGAAATATATAGTCATTTACCACGATAATTTAGTCAAACGAGTGGAAGATTAGCATTCCGTAACACTTATTCACTATACTTTTTTCACGACCAAACAGACAACAGCGGAATTTCTTATTTCGTCGGCTTGTAGCCATTTGATTTCCTCTTAGGTATAATGCTAATCTATTGGATAGAACTGTCATTGCTTGAAATTTAACATTTTAAGGAAGCTGAGGTTTTGTGAAATGATAACACAATGGACTCATTGTGATATCAGATACGGAAATATAATTGATGACATGAAAAGTACCTTGAATTATCGAATACAGTAAGACAAGAACAATTTTGTGTTATAGCCGTAGAAGAAAAAAGTTCGTTTGGATCATTATTCTCCTAATATTAGAGAGCATTTCAAGGTACCCCATTTCACCTAATTTCCTTCATCAAATAATGAAGGTTAGCAATTAATTCACATAAAAGGGAATTGCCTGAAGTTGGTAAACTTGGCAGCCTCTCTAAGTTTGTTTAGTAGTTATAGGTACATGAGCGCTGCTCCTCGAATCAATGAAAAACATTTTTGACTTAAAACTTGGATACAATTCCTCAATAGAACAATTTCTTAACCTAGCCTTCTGGGAATAAAACTAACTATGCATACCTGTCGTAATTTGTTCTATTTGTGGGATTGAGGATGCTAAATTTAAAAATTTAAAAACAGTTGTGTAAACTTGCGGCGATTTCGAAAGTTTGTCTAGTAGTCTAGTATATACAGTCTGATTGACAAAAAACGCTCTGAGCCATATTCGGTTTTGATAACAAGTAAGCGAAAGGAATTTTTCATCAGATACCATGATTAGGCTCTCAACTTTTTTTAAATGCTGGCATCATTTGATTTCCAATCTCTTTTATGTTCGAGATTTATATAAACACAATAATGGTGATTTCAATTCAAGATAGTTGATATGACAAGATCATCTTGTCATTGATATCATGGAGCAATCAGTATGTGTGATTCATGTGATCAACATAACTGGAACTGATCATCCAATATTCGGATTTTTGTTCACTGTACACTTCAAAATCAATGCGGTGTTGGAATATCTGACAAATGAAAAACTGATATTCAATAATAAAAATAATAATCGTCTTTATTGAATTATCGGTGAGTACGAATGGGCATATAGAAAATATGAAGGCGAAATTTAGCAACGTTGCTATTCTTACACTTAACCTCTATGTTATCAAGAACAAACAAAATGTGTATATCCTCCGGTCCGGTGTTCACCGGAATGATCAACACCGCCTATACTATCTACATATTGATACTATTTGATTGTACTATGATATAATAATCATAAATTAGAATACCTGATCATAGACACAAACAGAAATCAGTGAATCATTTATCATTCATCATTGACAAGAAGCGGTCAAAGAGAAAAAAAACATTAAAGTGAAGTATGGTTGTTCCGCTAGCAAAATTATCTTGACTTTCTTCTTGAATGTAGATATTGCGATTTTTCATATCTGTACTTATTCAATTTTGCAAATCTGCAGCAAAAAAAAAAAATTCCTTTCGGAAAATGGTTGTTGAGTGACAGGAAATATTGAAATTATCAGAGAGTCTAATATTAACATCGTGAATGCTTCTTCTGGGAGGGAACTAACTTATCATGCAGATAAGTGAGCGTACCACTCTGTACAATCCTTTGAATACATACAGAATACTAAAAGGTTTGCCGATTAGTCATATTAAACCATTTCAGACTGTTGATTTTATTCAGGAATACGCTCATATTTTCTCACAGTTTAGCGATTCCGAGTGCATGATTTTGAGCTTATTTTCCTAAACTGATCTATTGGTATATAATAATTTCAAATTGCAGAATGATTTTTTTGTGATAACCTGACTCCAAAATTTGAGATCATGTTCAATAAATATACCCAAGGACTTCACAGTTTTGAAGTATTACCAAAGAGTATGTACATAGACTTTGACGCATTCAACTTCAAATAATGTTTATCTGATAGCAGCCTTATATTTTCCAAATCAGAATTAATTTTATATTCGGCTATATGATATTCGTACGGTGCAAAATGATATACAAGTTGAGTATCATCAGCAACACTTTGTACAGAGGCATGACCTATTTTATTATAAGTTGGCAGTATATTAAATGAAAAGCAATGGCACCAAGATGGACCCTTGAGGTACATCCGATGTTTTACTCCTCATCGCTATCTTTTGCTCTTGGTTAGACAGATATGACTCAATAAACTTCAGGGCAGGAAAAAAAAATTGCCCCAATGCAAACATTGACGATATGATTTAATAAGGGCCGATGAAAGGAATGCAGAATTTTAACATTGACAAAGTAATTCCATCGGATCCACACGCATGCGACTTAATACTGAGTAAAGCATTAGTAACTTCTTCAATGCTAGCAAGTCTGAACTCGAAAGCTTCAGAAAGGATGCTATCTATTTTTGAGAATAATAATCGAATATGAAATCATCACAACCTTTCCTTAGAAAAATCGAGGAGAAGTATTAATCCCTTCATCGGCATTCTGTAAATTATTTGGACTATTTTTCTGATTATGCACTCTAGAAACATAATTCTTTCTCTCAGTGCAAATAGCTTTCAAGGTCATATTGCGTATAGCTGTGTAGTTATTCCAGTTTACTGTAGTTCTATTTATTTTATATTTATTTGAGGCGGTGTTTGAATAACTCCCTCGAGCTTCGAGCTAAAGCTAAAGATTATTAATGTTCATGTGGTCTCATCAAATTGACAAAATACAAGGTACTCTCAATGGAATTATGAGAAAAATAACAGTCCGCTATTTGTCAAGAATCTATCATGATTATCGAGCAACTTCACTTAGAGTTCCGAGTAGACAATATGACGAATAATTGTGGGTCAAAGTGAGTGTAGATAATCACACAAAATTATAGCGATACTTGCCTAAAATTGAAGCAACTGCTTCGGCAATATTATCCGTATTGGTTGATGATTTCTTCTCAGCCACAACCATACTAGACACGATAGCAGCTTCCTTTTGAGTCAATAAAATATCCATAACTTCCATGCAGCTGCTTAACCGCTGTTGAAGAGTTCCGCTTATTTCGAGTTCTAAGTGATTGTCTTGCATATCAGCTACGAGCCCAACCTGAAAAATATCGATTTGGATGAAAATCCATGTGAATTTTAATGACATTCACAGAAAGGATTAGTTGAACTAGAAAGTATAAAATCACTGTCAAATCCAATTAGGAAAACTCTCAGTGGGTTTATCATTCAACTCAGATACTACCAACTAGTTTTATAATAATATATACGAAGGTATGAAGTGCTTTTGGATTTTTTGTAATAAACCCGAACCCTGAACCATAGATAAAATAAATTGAAAGTAAAGAAACATTTAAAATAAAAAGCTTTCATCCAAACGCTCTGAAACGAATAGAATGAAATGTTCCTTTATAATTCTATCTATCAACTTATAACCTCATTATACACAATTTATATGATCATAAAAGCTTGTAGCGCAATTTACTTGGGTTAATAAACTAGTACTAATTTAAGTCTGTGGAATCTGCAGTTTAAAACTTCGAAACTTCAATTTGGTTGAATATTGATCATCAAGACAAGCTTTTTGATTTTTAGTTTAGCGCTGGCTAGGTTTCTCAGTCTGATCATTTCATTCAACGCATCATTGTTGCAAGATCGTTCGCCGGTTGATTTCAAACAGTCCAGCTTTCCAATGAGGAGACCTTCGAATCATTTCACCCTACTTAAAGCCACGTGAGCTTGACCAGCAGCGAAGAGCTTTGAGCATAAGTGAATAACGGCGAAGTCGACAATACTACCGTGCATTTTGTGCGAACCCCTTCATTATAGGAAAGCCCAAAAAACTTCAATAGTGTGCCATGTTGGATTGAGAGTGATGTTATATTATTTCTAATTATTCATTTGATACCCATATTGCAGAAGTGCATGAATAACAATCATTCCGCCATCTTGAAAGTTCCGCCATATTGGATTTAGAATTACGTTACATCATTTTCCGAGTTACTCTCAACGAGCCGTTTCATTTGATACTCATATTGTAAAAGTCACATTATTTCTCGAGTTACTTCCAACGAGTCCTTTCATTTGATACCCATATTGTAGAAGTGCATTTAATATAACTCTTCTGCCATCTTGGATGGTCCGCCATATTGAATTTAGAATATTCACACGTCTTATCGTGCATTGTCATTCAAAATAAACTTGTATACAGAATTTCAGCTCAATCGGTTGAAGATATCAACTTCAAAATTGAGTTCAAAGATTCCACCCGAACTAACATACATCATACATCCATACATTGCAAGTTAAACAAAGGCTTTTAATAATAATAAACCCTTTGACATCATGTCCTCCAATTTCATATACCCATACACACATTCAGATATTAGACAAAAGATTGATCAGCTGTTGTTTTGTTGTATATTTTTTATTGATAAACACGCTTATGTATATTAGCTTGGTATGAATATGTTTGTATATTTGTAACGATGAATCTACGAACATGATTTCGACCCACTTCAAAACGTCGAATTGGATTGAATTTCCGCACACTCATCAAGATCCGATGGAAATCGCATGATTTTATAGTTTTGCCCCATTATCAGGATCTTCGGGATGAGCTATTTCTATTCTCGAATAATGAATGAAGTTCGGCCACCAAAAATACAAAACGTTCCTTCGCCAAAAATGCAATTGTTCGTTTTTCCTTCGAATAACTATTTCTATTCTCGATTAATATATGACGTTCGGCCACCAAAAATACAAAACGTTCCTTCGCCAAAGATGCAATTGTTCGTTTTTCTTCGGAATAACCATAACTTTACACTTTACATTGATTTTTTATATCTAGAACAGGGTCTACAACAACTACTCGTATGAATAGTTACATCCAAAGAGACGGGTGGTTCTGACCAACTTCAAAACGGCGAACTTAATTGAAACTTTGCACATTTTTACTTCGATTTGATTTGGCCATCCATAAAAGCGTGTTTTTTTTTGTTTTTCAAGCTACTATTCATGTGTAATGAGTTCGTTCGAGTCGTCTAGCACCCAAGGTGTAAACTTCATGACTTTGTACTGAGTTAATTTTGCTTGTATCGAATTTTTTCAGTTTGAGGAATATTTGGTCAATTTTTTTGAGATTTGATAATGAAGAGAAGCTGTATCTCAGAGACTTACTTCTACGTGAACTAAGTAAACTAAGTTAATCATTTTTGATATCGATAAATGTTACATGTACCTGTCAAGTTTGTGAATGAAAATGTGTCATGTTGGAGCCAGAGGATGGAACATTATCACGAAAGATATCATCCAGTATGAAAATCATCTACCCATACTTGAATGGAAGCAGAAAGATGTTTGGGTAATGCTGGATTGTAATAACTGCGGAAACCTCGGAAACTCATCAGTGCTGTGATGAAAATAACATTCTTGGTCTTTTCTTACTTCTCATGTGATTTATGATGTTTCTTATTCTTAAAATTTCGTCTTAGCTTCCATTTGCATTCTGCATAACCTGATGAATCTCACGTGAGAGAGTTTTTTGAAATTCTTTATTAATCTTTCTGATGTATCTTTTTATCAACATAATGCTGATCTGGTTCTACAGGACCTTCTCCAGATTTAAACCTATTTCAAATTCAGAACTGATTATTTGAATCTTTGACCTTGGCTTTTTGATAAAATTTTCATGCTGTTGATATGTATTACTGAGGTTAGAATACCAACTCTTTGACTCTCATTGACTCCTTAACATTGATCAAAATTATATTTTAGGTACTTTGAATACACCAATGTTGTGTCTGATGATGGTCTGTGGCCGAAACTAGTTACACTACTGATATTAAATAAATTTTTTCGTGGTCGACAGACTTTGGGACTTTATTGTTTTTTCTTATAAAAGTCAATTGGACCACATTGAGAAATATGGATGGTTTCCATGATTTAATTAAATTACTGTTTACACTTTTTTGACATGCAAGCCAAGTATAGAGGTAGGGGCTGCCTATTTCCTTTTTATATTTTTGATGAGTCACTATATATCTCATGAAATTCCGTTATTTGCGAAGAAAGCATTTGTTTTTAGTGATGTAAACCATGTAAACATCAGCATCACTAGGTCTTTGAGTTCTGTGATCACTACTCGAAAATGTCAGGTATATAATATATACCTACAGCGAAGAGTACCTACATGGATAGTTTTTCAGTTACTATGAATGATACAAACACATTGGTGTAGAGGAATCACATAAGGAATCATTATGTGAGTCATGTTCAGAAAAAAATTGACAGAAGGATGATGATGTTCGCGAACAGAATGGAGAATTTTTCCATCTGAAATGAATATCTATAGAAGCAAGGTTAGACCCAATTCGGTTATTACTTCAATGTCTTATGGATATTCTGCTCCAAACACGAAATATCATTATGTTTTATAGATAGGTACCTATTTGAAAGTAGAGCTTTGGTAGTAGGCAGTCACATATTTCCTTAAAAAAAAGTGTTTGCGTAATACTGGGTGCCTATCCTAGCCCTTCATTATTTTCATGCTAAAGTCTCAGGGACTTGAGGAGAATTTGATACATATTAAGTGTTTAACCTACATAATAATGTGCTTGTATCAAGACTCTTTGCACGATATCAGCTGATACATTTTTTGAACCCCCTGCTTATATTACCAACATATTGCTTCCATATTAGATACATTGAATCAGTCATGAGATTATTCGATTCTTGTTTTCAGCTATTTTTGTTGAATGATCATTCATTTCGGATCATTCCTCAACAATTCTGATATTTTGATGGAATAAATATAAAAGTGTTGGCGTTTACGTCACGGCTCAAGTACCGAATTTTTTACCTAATTTCTTGAGGATTTGCCAATTATTTTTTGTTTCAATTTGCTTAATCATGTGACTCGTTACATCGGAGCATTTTCAAATTGAAAACTTTGATTGTCAAGGAATATATTATTGATTATTCTACTCTCCTATTGGTCGAAGGAAGAATAGTGTATGCCACGAACAAGTAATCGCTATGAATACACTCGCCTTCGGCTCGTATCTTATCTTACCTGGTGTTCGTGTTTCAATAACTCCCATTACATGATCGTTGCATAAAATACTAATATGATTGACATAAGGACAATCTGTTCACGGACACCCTAATCATAAATACATCTATCTGAATATCAAATATTATTATTGACATTTATAGTTCTCCAAATCATAAATTCGCGTATCTCAATCGAACAATTTCGTTATCCATAATTGGATAGTTTCTTGTTCTTGTAATTTACCTCTCCTATCGCTCCCCACTGGATAGCCAGTGCTGGATATCCGTCCCTCTTCCTCTGTTCACATATCCTTTCCATGACGGAATTACCCATACCATAATTCGTTTGCCCTGTATTTCCTCGCCCACAGGACACTGACGAAAATACCACGAAATCACTGAAATAAATATTTTTATCACTTATTTTTGCAATACAAGGTGTTATTTAAGTATGTGGCTAAACTTCAAGAAGTGACTATTTGGGTGATTCTAAGACTTGTTCATATGAACATATAGTTCTGGAAATGCATAGTTTCTGGATAAGGACATAGTGTCAAACTTTTTTTCAGAATTCCGTTTTCCGTAAATATCGTGAGAATATTATAGTGAATTAGAATTGCCATTGAAAAGGAATATCCTCAGATGTATTGTGGATATGAAAAATGGATATATATACAGAAATCCATTGAGAATTCGCATTATCTCTATGATGCATATATCAACTCGTTATCGGCATATTCAACAGGAAACAACTACTTTCCTGACTATATGCCTATTTTGGGAGTTCCTGCGCATTAAGCAGAAACGTTTTCAGGCGAGCAATATGGATGAGATTCTAGGATTGCTGAAATATGACATATAGTGGTCTAGATAGAAGTTGAGAGAAATGAATGTGATGCGAAAGAATGCACATTGAATTCATACCATCCAGTTCTAATATATTCCAGTTGAATTAGAACGAAAGCATATCAATATTCATTCCCGTTTTTCCTTCATAGATAAATGACTGTTTGGTTAAACTCGTCTAACTCTGACAATCTATAGCAAAAATTAAAATAATATACACCTATTTTTCAGTTTTGTCGCGAAGAAACTTGTTTCCATTAAACAGGGTGTTAATGTTTGCATAAATTTTTGGTTCTTATTATTAAAATTTTTGCTATCGGTTGTAAAAGTTAGACGAGTTGAACCTGAGGCACCCTGTATATCACGTTTCAACATCAAATTTTGTGATTTCGTAGAGAAAGGGGGCCTCCACTATCTTTCATCCTCTACACCCTTTGTTCTTTGGGTACAATTTCCATTCGAAATCTTATGAGCAGTCGACGTTCAGGAAACCAATCATAAAATAATTTGAATTAGAGTAAGAATGACTCGATAACATGTTTATGATATGTTGACTTTCATAATTTAGAGGAATATGTTTTAGAAGACACTGTACCTACACTATAGGAATTTTGCTCAGCTCAACTTTTTTATAATTGAATACTATTAACATATACAAAAATATATATACCTCATTTGTGGACAAAGCTTCCTGGTCATCTCATCCAGATATCTAGTAGCATCTGCTTTAGGTGCAAGAGATGTCCTAAACATCTCTTTGGTTTGATTTTCGAATAAGGCATCTTGTAAAATAGCAGCTAGATTGAAAAGCGCACTAACTGGTCCAAGTTTTTCGGCATCTTGGATGAGTTGGAGGCTGCCTTCCCTCTTGGTGACGTCAGCGGTGCATATTTTAATGGTAACACCATAATTGCGCCATGTCCTGAAGATTCAATTTTGATCAACTTCAATTATGAACAACACAATAATTTTCGATCGAAATATGTAACCAATGGAATCAAAATGAACGGCTCAATCAACTATGTATAGTGTTCCATTTGAAAAATAAAGGGTAATGCCAATACTGAGAAATAAAATACCCTACATACCGAAAAATAAACTTCCTATCTATCCACATGTTCACCTCACATGTTACATTGACTAATGACGATTCATGCACAGAAAGGACAAAAGAAGCAAAAAAGCATCGAATATAATACTCTACCATTTATAATTGAAAAATATTCATGGTATTTCATTAGGCACCAGTTCAATCAAATATGTTTTCAATTTGATGTCAATGTTTCCTGTTTATTTAACTCCATGCTACCTTATTTCAGACTTTCAAACTTTCACTTTGTTTGTAAAATAGTCTAATAAAATTCCACTCGTGACTCATGTTTCTGCGGACTCGTGATGATTTCTCGAAACAATTCAGTTACGTTCATTGGGATGAATCGACAGACTTATCACGAAAATTCAATCACTTGTGATCGTATTACTGATCTGACAACGATCCATTGTGATTTCATTGATGACTTTAACCATTTTTTCCAATGCGGTAAAACAAATATAATAATTGTAAAACAAAGTGTATGACTGAAGTAAGCAATTATTTGTAGTAGGTAGCAAGAGGGTAACCTCAGGTAGCAACATAACCCGACGTTCAAACAGAAAATAAAATTCGCACCCTTGATTATAATCAATGGTCAATTTCATTTTTAGTTATCAGTTTACCTGATTCTGTTGCGCTGATATCCCGTTCTGATTCCATTTCTAGAGGAGAAAACAATTTTTCGGGCTCCTCGTAATATCAACCAATCCGCTAGCTCTAAACCGAAGCCTCCCAAGCCTCCAACAATAACGTAAGTCGCAGTCGGTGTGCAGTTATACCTAAAAAAAAATATAACTAGAGAATACCGTCAAATATATTTTTGGAGGCTGCTTAATCTTTCATCATGCAAATGCACGAAATAGTTCAGTTTATTTTCTTTTTAAATTTCATCAAATGGAATAACTAGTATATCGGTGCATATGAATTCCTGTAACTATATTCTCTACTCGAACTGTATATAGATACAGGTTTGCATAAAAAGGCAGCATGTACATTCTGAACCCTTTTGCATGTGTTTTCTTTCAAAACCAAAGTAGGTTGTGAGTTCGACTCACACGCAGAGCAGTGGAGTATTTTCGATATCTTTCGTCACTCGAAACTTGAGCTTTCCATCAAAGGAAGGAAGGAAATGCTCGAAGTCATCTCCACAAATTTCAATGGTGTTGTTACACAATCATAAGGCACATGTTTCAGTCTTATAAATGACCATCTTCAGCCTAATTGAAAGTGTTGGAGTTCAAAAATTTGATGCTACTAGTTGTTAAATTGTTGTTAATGGCCATAGTCGAAAAGTCGAGTTGATGATTGAAAAAACGGGTTCTCAATAAATGAAGGGCCCCGTGCCCTGAGAGCGCGAACCATTATTCTCATTGAAATTTTATATACCAAAATGATATATGAAGGGTAATTGCCAAAAGGTTTTGTTTTGTTAACACTATAAAGTGACGGTTATTTAAAAAAAGGGGTTCCCCGTGCCCTTATGAAAGCGCTACTAAACGAAAATATCAGCACGTGCTTAAATCTAAACTGAGCTTTCCATAATCTTCAAGAAATATGTTAGATTATCCATCGAATAGCTTACTTTGGTATTGGCTTTATTTGATTGTCCCTAGTCTTATCGAGTCCCTGTCTACGAACTTCAATGAGAACTTTGCCCATATGCTTGCCGCCAGCCATGAATCGGAAGGCTTGCTCGAGCTCGTTACATTTGAAGATGTTCATGTTGAGAGGCTTGACAGATCCCTCTGCGATGCCGTCATCAACCAATTTCCTGAGTATCTGCTTATCTGCCGGCTCCGAGCTGAACAATTGGTCCAACATCACGCCGTGGAATGAGGCGTCCTTTTCTAACAGGATCAGATTGAGCGCATTGTTGGCTACAATGTCGTATTTTCCGATTTCCAGAAATCGTCCTCCTCTCGCCAAGCACCTCACAGAAGTTATCAGTTTGTCCTCAGCAAGGGAGTTCAGGACCAGATCGACTCCTCTTCCATCGGTTCGTTTCATAACCATTCTTTCAAACGAGTTGTCACGGGAATTGCCGATGTGGTCGTCTGAAAGAGAGGATACCTCTAATGATTCTAATTCGAATGAACTGGACTCATCAAAATGCTACCGTTTGTATCAACAAAGAGTGATGATATGAATTCGACGCGCAGACTGAGCACAAATTATGTTTCGTTTATATTTCAACAACAAAATGTCGACGAAAAATGACTAGTGATATTTACTCAGTAAAACAATGGAGGAAAGAGGAGCTGAATAAGATAGAAAATCCTGTCCTAGTATTCTCCTACATAGAAGAAGGAAGCATCTTCTTGAGTCTTGATTACCGACTATGTTGACCCATCGGTTCATTCTCATGATCGTGATCTGATATCAAATCCACGTGAGGTTTTTCTACATGCTCCATCCCCAGGCTGGCTTCAAGAAGATTAACCAGAATTTGTTCCTTTCCTAGGGTTTCCTCCTTGTATTTAGATATCAATAGGGGATGAATAGCTTTGAGCTTTTGAAGGTTTGAATTTTCTCAAGACATAATTGATAGGGTTGATTCTTGAATATGTGTTGTAATCAGATGATATTTAAAACACAAGGAGAAACATAAAAGAATCAAGCCATAAAGTGATGACGAGTTTTGAAAATGGATATTTCAAAAATAATCCAAATACCTAATGATTCGGATACAGATTGAAAATATGAAGTTGTGTGGTAATCTAGAAATAGGTGAATCAACTTTTCGAAGAGAAGCCTAAAAAATATTTTCTGTCTTTAAAAATTTATATAGAAGGTACTAATATGTTCATTGTTGTCTGAGTAAAATGTATATAAACCATTCGAAAAAAGAGTTCATCATGGAGATGTTATCCATAGAATTCGTAGATATCCATTTGATATTACTTTCTTCTGTGTAGTTGACAGTGCTATATCGATGATCGTGTCACCGATAGCAGCAACGATATAAATTCAACGTCACGATCAAAATCAGTCAGTCTGGCTCGTGAAAGATGACCGGTGGAAAGAATGTGAGCCCAGAGCACAAATATAAATGTGGCGATCGCTAGAAATTCTAGTATCAGTTCAAACATGCAGTCAATCATATCGTTCGTAACTTGATGAAATATCAGCACCACATCTACCCCGCCTACCTGTTAATTGGGGGAAGACCATTTTGAGGAATTCTCTTTTGCTTTCGTTTCCAACTGTCGTATATACAGTACAACCATGATGTAGAGCGTATCTGATAGCTGCCTGTCCAATCCCTCCTGTCCCTGAATGTATTAGCACTGAATCGCCTCTCCTCATTTTTCCTCGCTGAAATAGATATTTACGATAACATTGGATCCCTACAAACGACACCAATAAAAGTCCACTTTTCCGCACTCAGTTCAAGTGTTGCAAGGGTCACTTTCACGCACTAGTGGGGAAAAAACTGTCATCTCTAGCATGAGTGCAGAAAAGAGGAATTTTTTATTCATTTATTCCTAGTTCCTGCTCTGAAACTTCGCTTTTACACATTAACACCGAATGGGATGCGAAGGAGAGTTCAGTCGATGACTGGAGTCCTCTTTACACCAGAAGCCCTACAAAAACCAGCAAAATTGGCTCATTAAATGATCTGAAACTAAAACTGAAACAGGCAGTCGACTTTAGCACCGAAATGCGCTCAATCGTCTCGAGTCGCTGTCCAGCTCTAACGTGACGTCACTGCGGAGCGTATAGACCTTATTGTATCGGTGATAACGACCATACCCAGTATCATGAATGTCGTTCATTACTAAACGCCTATCAGAAACCTCATTCAGATTTTCATGAATTTTTTTATGGAAGGCAGAATATATCAATAAGTATCTAGGTATAAAGGTATTCTGCAGTTGAATCAGAAACATAAAGAAGCGTTGTATGCGAGGAATTTCTATTTTGCGAGGATCATTCGCTACGAATTATCTAGTGAACTGATGCTAAATTCTCGGAATCAATTCTATATAGCAATTTTGTGGGATAGTTACTTACGAATGACAGAGCATATGTTATAGTTCCAGAAACTACAGGAATTGTAGCGGCTTCAGACAAACTCCAGTTGTCTGGTACTTTCCAAAGTAAAGTGGGATCGGGTGTAACCTTAGTAGCTAGTGCTCCACTAGGGACCATCCCCATTACTCTTTCTCCCCTATGAAATAATTCACATATGTACGTGGTGCATTCATAAAGATAATGATTGAAATTGTGAATTCTGCGAAGTCGTTCACAAAAATTGCTTCAGTGAACAGTCCAGATAACATTAAATATTCATATAGGAAAGTTACCTTGAGTTTTTGCCAGAGAATTCAAAACCTATTACATTTTCTTGGTCGAGCCTGCTCTTAATGACATCATCTCCACTCAACTTTCCGGATGCCAGCATAACGTCTCTGAAGTTGAGAGCAGCATAGTGTACCTGGAATACTCATTGACAATACGCTTATTCGATGAAATAACAACTCGGCTTACATCGACTGAATCTATTTGGAGAAGTGACTTGGCATCAACATATTTGCTTTTTGTGTCGAACCACCTCAAACTAGAAATATCCCCTTTCACCAATTGATTCACGACGCAATAGTCACGTGATAAGTCTTCGCCATTGTCTTCTAGCAGGAGATGCCGATATGTTCCCCATTGACCGTTCTTGAACACGTTGATTGCCATATTCTTTTCCAGTTGGTTGATGAAATAATTGTTGCTTTGGTTGAAGTCTACGTCTTTATCTAAAACCAGCATACTCCTCATGTTTTTACCGCCTGGTTCTCGTCTAATGCAGTTTATAAAACCGATTAATCCGTTTTGTGAGTTCCTGTGAGAATAAAGTATAGTTTCTTCTTCATTAGATAATGCTATTTTGGTAGGGTCTATCCAGTCTAATGAATCTTCTATATCTGTTACATTGATGAACACGGGTTTCGTTTTCCTTGTTTGTTTTCCGATTAACACTAATGTTTCATCTGAAGTTCGATGCGTGGTCAGTGATAATATATTATTCTCAGTTAACTTGCAGTTGGGTAAGTCGATGGGTTCTCTCGAAATTATGTATCCATCCACTTTGATTGCTTCTAAAGCATCTGCTAGTTTCTGAAATTCGAAAATTTTACATGAAAAATTCTGTTGAAATAGACTTGAAATATCACAAAAAAAATTGTCGTCACGAAGCTGAATCCCGGTCATTGCTGTTAGCTTTTTTTTATGAGCAGTCATAGTCAACACGTGCAACCGTCAACAAATTTGCTAGCCTGACTTCTAGAGTGGAATAAGGTACACTTCGATATTTGAGTCATATATTATAACAAAGAGATAGGTATAGAATCAATAGATTCGTCCTAATTGTCAGCAAGAGCGAAAGACATTATCATTTTCCGGTCTGCGGAAAATTGATACAACTCCACGTACTTTAAGAGTGTAGAATGTTTACTTATATAAGCTAGGCCCAAATGATCCCATTTTGCAGGCTTCAAGGTGTAATGGGGGATGTGATTCGCTTGGGAGAGATTGCTCGCACCTTTTCTAGGTACTTTCCATCAGCTGTCTCTCAGAGTTTTTCGTTTGTGTGTAGGCTAATGATTAACTAACTACCATATACTGCAGCATTGGCAGCTGGTAGTTTTCGTCAACCACTTACATGAATCTTTCTGCTTCTCTTCTCTTGCTGACTTCATACGCCACTTGAGAGATAGCACTTTTTGTTTAAATGCAACAGTGTATCTAAAGTGTATCGCACGGAACAAGGCTACGAAACTTCAAATTTTCTACCTTGAGTTACGAAGCGTTGAGTTATTCCAATAATTGTCAATAGACCGTTTGAGAGGCCTCACTCTTGCATTCTGGATTCTTTCATGAAATTAAGTACTTTGTTTTCTTGAATTCGATCGCCTTCTCGTGCCGTTTATCCCGAGAATTCGTCATCAAATTAAATCAAATCAGATCAGATCAAATCAAATATACTTTATTGTCAGAAGAAATGAAATTCTCATCGACAAAGTCATTATAATTGAAAATAAGAATTTTAAAACATAAATTTGTAATATACAAATAACAATTTCGAGATAATCACAACATAAGAAACAAATAATAATAATTTAATAAATTATAAAATAGATGGAAAAGTGCACGTGAAAAAAATATAGGCATCATAATGACAGGGACAATTAAAAGTTGAAATCCATCTAACGTGTATAGTAAGCTCTCTCCAACAAAATATTTCTTATAGAACTTTTGAATTGCTTGAAATTAGTTAGCATTTTGATCTCGTCTGGCCAATGAATTAATTATTTTTTCCCATTATAATAAAAGAGTTTTTGATCTGAGTAGTAGATGGTATGGGTACCGATATACAGGATATTAGTGGATAAATGCGACAAATTTCAGGGGCTGATTCCTTGTGATATTTTAGAAAATAAAATTTTTATAAAACATGTGCCCCAACTTGCTTCGTTTGCAAGATACAGGGTATCAATATCGAACGAAAATTCGTTTTTTCAATCATTACTCAGATGTCTTTTTACCAATCTCAAAGAAACTTGGTGGTTTTGTAGAATGTAACATGGAGCTTCTTTTGATGCGATCGAATTGGGAAAAATATTTTCAGTGGCGTCACAGTGGGTTAATTTATCGATATTGACGATTAATATTATTGTACGCCACTGGTTGTTCTGACTTTCATAAGCTAATTAGATTGAACAATTGAAATATCAACTTTCTTATCCTTCGTGTTTCCTCTGTATCTCGCTTAGTATTTGACGAAACAATAAAAATTCCAAATTTCAATGTAGATGCTCTCGAAACATTCATTGAGATTACTCAATAACCCCAATTAGAATCATTTTGAAATTTTGGGACTTTTTCAGTCTCCAACCATACTAAATTCTGGCACCATGAGAGCTCATCCAGGGGCGTTATAAATGAAAACAATTAATACTTTCGACTTCAACATCCTGTATATGAGAAAAGCAAGTTAGAACACATGATTATATGAACTTTATTTCCTGAAATATCACAATTAATCACCGTCTGGAGTTTGTCGCACTTATTCACTAACACCCTGTATACATTGCCTGTCTTGTGTTATAATAATTCGTTCTTCTAGAATTCATGATGTAATTACTGTGAATTAGATCCACTGTTTCCAAAAAGATGATACATGGCATTGTCAATATTCTATTTTCAATTAACCAAGGCTCACAAGAATCTCTCATTTTTTTTCTTACACATATACCTTACTGTACTCTTCTGTAACACAAATATCATATCAGATAAAGATTGACTGCAAGGCCCCAAAAAACGATTCCATATCTTGAATGGGAGTCGATGAGAGCAAAGTATACCATGTTCTAATTGCAAAACATCCAGAGGCTAACTTTACCCAGACATTTTGTGACCGACTCATATCTCATTATATGATTATCAAGGAACGATTTTTTCTGCAAGTTGCAATGAAAAGTGGGGATGTTCGTTTTCGAAAAATTCACTGAAAGTATATTTGAATCACACTACTCTTTGACTCTTGTAATATCATCAACAATAATATATGTTGCAATTCCGATACATCTCGATTGTGCCATCAAATGTACTATGACTAGATACTAATTTATCACTAACCTCGGGTCTAGATAAGAGTCTGGATGCAATCACAAGTGTGTTACCACTTTGTTGATTGAGTGTCTTATTTTCGACTAAAATGTCAACGTCTAAAGGTGTTTCGCATAGAATCTTAGCTTCCGTATGTGTGAGTGGTTCGTCTTCAAGAACGTTGAGCAAAAGTGGTGTAAGTAGTTGGGAATCCTTGGGAGTATCACTATCGACTACCTCCACTGATTTTACTTTGTTGGACAAAGTATTCTCCAGGATTATTTGGGCATTAACTCTGACAGAGGCTGGAAGAGATAGGCTGGTATGATTCGGTACGAATTCATACCTTTCCAGGACAGGTGTGCCCAAATATTTTCGTCTTTTTATTGAAGTGGCTGCTAGTCCATGTACATCAACGCCAATACATCTGTAAGAGTAATAATAAGTTAGTGATTCGATAACAACATTCAACTGCATTTCAACATAGGTTACTCAGGTTCAGGTTACTCTTACTCAGTTAGTGGGCAAGTCGGATTTTTGGGAAAATAGTTATTCTTTGTATGTATAATTTATGAATATTATGGTGATACTTAGGATTGCCAGCTATGAAAATTCATGCAGTAACATACCAGGTGATTGTTTTCGTTTGGTTTTATAACTTCTTCATTTTGTTTAATATGATTATATTATTAGTTGGCGTAGTGAATTGGTTCTAGGGTTTTGCCTCTTTTTCCAAACAGGTTAATTTTTTTTATTTTTAGTTGGCGTGGTGAATTGGTCCTAGGGTTCTGCCTCTTTTTCAAAACAGGTTAAGGAATATCAGTTGAATATTCCAGCTATCCATTGTGAAACTGTGAGACGTATAGAAACGTAAACGTTCCTAGTAAAAGTTTCACGATGAACTTTTTTTATTTTTAGTTGGCGTAGTGACTTGGTCCTAGGGTTCTGCCTCTTTTTCTAAACAGGTTGAGGAATATCGATTAGATATTTCAGCGATTAATTGTGGAACTGTGAGGCCTATAGAAACGTAAACGTTCTTAGTAAAAGTTTCTCGATAAACTTTTTTTTATTATTAGTTGGCGTAGTGACTTGGTTCTAGGGTTCTGCCTCTTTTTTAGAACGGGTTAAGGAATATTAGTTGAATATTTCAGCCATCCATTGTGGAACTCTGAGGCGTATAGAAACGTAAACGTTGTCAATGAAAGTTTCTCGATAAACTTTTTCACGTTTTCTATATTCTTTAAGTCTCCAATCTAGTCCAAAAATATAACAGAAAGTCTCCAGTGTGGAATTTCAAAGGAACACCCAATGAATAGTGAAAGTTGAAACTCACCTGATTTGGTCCATCTCTGGATAATATTGGACTGGGAGGAGTATGTCGTCGGTCCTTTCAGGATCGCGTTCACTTTCCAATTTTTTTATGTAAGAATCATGGAAATTCAGATATAATTTAACTTCGGCGATATAAGTAGGAACGTAAAGGAGTCTGGTATCGACTTGTAATATTTTCATCTGGAACATGTTATCGATGAGCGTTATCCAATTGTTATTCCATCTGATTAGTCCATCAGTGTTGTTATCGGACACTTTCTCGATACTCCTAAACTCACCACTGAAAATATGAATACGTTAGTAATTTCACCATCATCACCAATGATGCTGACATATGCTGATAATTCATGAAGAATATACTGTGAGATACTATAGAGTCACCAAATCTTCGATTTCTATAGTTCTATTACTCAATTTCTACATAGGCTTTTCTAGATATAATTGTGGTATTCCGGGTATATTTTTGTATTGACTATTCAACCACAGTTTCCAAAATAGAAATGCTTATTCTTCAATCAAGTGTGCAAAAATAGTTGAGCTTTCGGTGATGCATTTTTTGCCTTGAATTTTCATTATTTCGAGCTCGATATTGACTCCTTCCTGCAGAATAGGAATTATTTCGTAATATGCTGAAAGCATAATTTATGATTATGAATAAATATGACCGTGATTCCGTTTGAGCTCATGAGCTTGTCTACAAATAGTCCTGCCTATACTATCTGGGACAGATATAGCTTTATAATCATGAATGCGCGCTGTTTGTGTTCTTCACCTGGATGTAATCAAACTAAATGTTATTATGAAATAATATAACTACTTGAATACTATACACACAGCATTTATATGTATTCATTGACAAGTAATTTAGAGAATGAAGAAAACTACATTGGTAGAAAAAACACACTGTACGCCTTATAAAAGGGTAATTAATGGCAAGTTCTGTACCTATTGGTGGAAAATAAGTTGTATCTGCTACTACTTCCACAAACAATCGCTGTTGTTTGATCACCACATTATATATTCAGCAGTGTTCAAGGCCACCAAGTACTGCAGTGACGAAGTTAGATCTTCAATTTTGATTGGGTTCACCTCAGAACATTGGGATTATGACAGTAAAAGTAGGAGCAATTACAAATTGAGGATACGTTGCAATATTCGACATTTTGATGGAAATACATACTATATACATATGTATTTTAAAAAATCTATACATAAATACTGTTTAGCTTAAAACACCCTAATAATTTTAACTTCATCAGCGTCAGCGCCTCACGTGCCACGTTGATGCGAGAGCATTATTTTTCGGGTTCCTGTCTTTGAGAATTCGTCCATCAATTCCGGATGATCGATATTTCTCGCGACATGACGTGGAAAGGTTACTAAATAACCTATCTTCAGAGACTTTTTGGTATATTGAAGTATATTGAAACGACTTAATTCTCTCAAATTTTCTTCAGGGGGCTAGGTCATTATTTGAAGAGGCTTAGCCCCCCTTCCAAGCCCTGTCCCTAACACCACCACTGCCAATTAGCGAAATTATCCTTGTTATGAATCTTCATAGTTTGAAAAATACGCATGTGGGATCGTCTAAAATTCAGCCTCATCTACTGAACCAAGTCCTAGGAGAAGAGGAACACCATGGTAGGTGCCTATTAGAGCAGCATGAACTTTTGCTTAATACGAAGCTTCACAAATCGGACAGGCCAAAGAGCCACAGATGCAGCTGCGTCGGTCAATCGATCCAGCATTAAGGCGACCTTCAAGAAGGTATACAAGCAATTGGGGAAGGCGCTCTTGAAGTTAAAATCGCAGCCGGAGTTGGGAGAATAGAGGCCATTTGACTCCGTTGAACAACATGGAAGTGGCTAACAATGCGCATCAAGCCGATACTGACAAGAACATAAAGAAGATGATGGATGACAACAGGATGATTAATTTCGTAACTATGATTGATTTGGACAAAGACATTTCAAGGGACTGTTCTAGCTACTATGTTTAAATTTTGTCATGTATTCTGTTGATAATGATGTAGGGAAAATATGGCTATGATGGTCTCGTGGCTATGATGGCTCACCATCACCTTTATTTCCAAATATCACGCAGTTCCTACCAGTTTCTACCAGTTTCCAAAGCTTCAACTTCATATTAGTGATTTTATGCAATGAAATCAGAATTGGTAAGGGTTCATCTGAGAAAAATCTTCTTTTTTGTGGTACTTCACTCTCTGAATGATGAAAATAAATCTGTTTTCATATGTAAACCGCCATCATGGGCATATAATATGTTCCTATGATGGACCACTCAGGGGAGGTGAGAATAAAGATAGCTTAAATTGATGAACAACTGATGAGGAATCGATGAGTTACTCAATAGTATTAAATAAATTCATTATAGGATAACTATGACGTAATTTTCTTAAGGGAGCCATCATGTGCACATTTCCCCAATGAAATTCAATGATTGAATAAGTCAATAATAAATGAGGTATTTTTTCTAGAAAATCCCTACACCAAACCAATCGCAATGGAAACTAGACTAAAAAACGAATAAATCTGCCGAAATCGTGTCCTAATCTAATACTTTGAACCTCGAAATGAATATTCAGATCGAAAGTCTCTTTTTGTTTATATTTATCTGGTCCCGAGTCCCGAGGGTCTTAACACGTTCTCCCTTGCTTTCCTCGCGAATTTCATTGGTCAGAGATTGATTTACATTGCATGATTCGGAGAATTTGGTAGATTCTGAATGTAGTGCTGCCAAATTTGTCAAATTCTGTAGGTCCATGATGAACACCTACTTGATAGCAGAGAATTTAACCGTTAAGACGTATCATTCTTTGAGGAGTCGCTACTGTATGGTACCAGACTATGTTCCGGACTGTGAGCAATGGACACACAATTAGGAAAGTTATTATGCGGGCTTTCATTTCTCAATCGAATTCTCACCTGTATCATTGAATCAATGTTCATTTAATAGATTTCAACCGTACCTGTAGTGGTATCCACGTAACCGGAGTTCTTTGTAGATGTCCTTGGAATTCTGATAGGTGTGATGCACGGGATAGATAGCATTACTTTCCTCAGGATCATCTTTAGTAACGTATATTTCGCCAGTAACGACTAGAGCATCTCTTTCCATGATTTCGAAATAACCGCTGCTGAGGATGGAGACTTTCAAAGTAACTTCATCATCGGTGGGATTGATTGTAGTTGCCCTAATGAACCGACAGTTTTTGAACCTCAGCGTCTTCAGAACTCTGTGGTCGCCTTTCTTCTCCAATGTTTGCCAGGCTAGGTATAAGTAACCGGCAGCAGGAAATAAGATTCTACCTGAAACAGTCACCCGAATGCAAGATATCGACAATAGAGCCAGAAAACGTCTAGCCAGACCATTTTAGGCTTCTGCAATCTCTGTTATGTATGAACAATATATTCATAGTGGTGTAATCGTCCAGTATTTACTGAGGTAGATGGTTCGTGCCCCGATTTAACCTATTTCAGATGTTTGTTTTAATTGTATTTGTGACCAAAATCCAACGTGAATCGCGTTAGCCCATTGTGTCCATTGGCGTAAATATTTACACTTTTCTTGATGGGATGAAGCGGAAACCGAAGTAGTATATGTACAGGGTCTCGCCGATTTCATAGGAACAGTATTGCTATCTGCTAAACAGTAATAGAAAGGAAGTTGATCAAATAAGACAAAAAGTAGCGTGATTTGAATCTCTTCAATATGCCGTTTTGTGAATTGAAAATCTTTAGTTCCTGAAATATTTCGAAACAATTTAATTTATTACCTATATATCTATCTCTCACATCTGAAAAATAGCAATGCTGTGCTTATGAAATCAGTGGGATTCTGTATAGTCTAGCTAGACACTGGAATAGATGCGTCTTATCAGTGTATTGACTAATCAGACAGTCATCAATATGGAATTGTGTATTTACCCATAAAAAATCATTTGAACGTTTCCAACAGATTATGTGTTTGAATTTGAATGTGAAAAGATCAATCCGAATTCGGTACCCCACTCCAGTGACTTTGAAAAAAATTAATTTGCAACTTTTCATTGTATGGAGATACGTTACAAATGTGCATTATGTTGTATTGACTGGGAGCATGAAAACATTTATTCATCATCAGGGTGAGTGAAAAACGAGGTGGAAAAGCATAGGTGTCCCTGAAAGATCTGTACAAAATCACATATTCTTGAGGTCAAAATAAGCCGATTTGAACTTGAACTTTTGTTGGTCTGAAATTGCACCGTTTCCGAGATATAGGGTGACAAATTCAAAAAATAAAAATGCGACACGTATACCCCAAAAAAGTATTTGAAAACATCCACTCTCAATGGCTGATTCACTGATCAGACAAAGATAACTTCCAAGTTTTTGTACATAATAATTCGAATATATTAGTGCTGCGGCATCGAACATTACCAAAATAGCTCAAAAATTGCTCATATTAGCGGAATTTTACTGAGGTAAATTTTTTGAAAAAATCAAAAACAAGTTCTAGCCATTCTAAACTATAATGAGTGCATTAGTAAGCGCCCTCTAATCACCACAATGGAAAGATGTCTGTATTAGGGTTTTGTATACCAATCATTTCCGGGCTACCAATTTGGAAAGTGATTCGTTGAAAACTGTCCATAGTTAATGATGAATTGAATTTCATTTTGTAATTTTACCACCCTAATGTATCTTGGAAACGGAGAAATTTCAAACTGAGATAAGTTTGAATCGACTTATTTTGACCTCAGGAAGATTTCGTACAGACCTTATAGGAACACCCTGTATACATTATATACCGAGGTTCAGGATACATTTTTCTGATCCGTAGGGAGATAAGGAAGAGAGAAATGAATAGTCTCTGTACCGTGATTTAAATATCACTTTATTCACTGATAGCAAATATTTTCTGATAAAATGTTTTCCATTCATCCTAAAGTATTACTTTTTTTGTGATTAGTTAATGTTGTAAGAATGAAAGTCTTATGACCATCCTCTCATCTGAGCCCTAAGGCATCTGAGGCAAACAAATGAAATATTTGATCGTCCCTCCAATGCATTGTGCCATAGCATTTCAGAAAAGATAGATGATTTCAATTGATTTCATTATTAACTAGATGGAAGTCGAAGATTGTATGCATATTGGTGTATTCCAGAAGAAGAATTGATGAAAATCATCATAAGTTATACATTACCAAAATGAATATGTTTTAGAATTCGAGTTTTTCAATCAGGTGAAAATATCATGTGGGAGAACTGTGGGTTTTACGAACCAGCGTTTGCTTTCGATGACGTTCGAATTACCTGATATTTGATTTTTTTGCGATTCGTCTCAAACAACATCTTATTTTCTTTATCGCTTATATTTCTGAATAATCCTGTATAAACGTGCAGAATTCGGCAAATACTTAGCTAGGCACTTACCATCTATGATATGACCAGAAATAAAGGACCATTGTTTATTCTTTAATCCAATTTGGAACACTTTATCCCGTCGCCCTGTAGTATCCTTCGAAATATCGTCAAACTCCCATTTTCTATCATGAATCCATTTTATATCGGACGAAATCATTGGAGTGCCTCGACTCACTGGGAAATCTACTTTCGGAAACAGTTTTTCAATAGGTAAGGTGTAACCATGTTCGTACAAACTGAGAACAAAACAAGAACATCAAGAATCTAAAGAATACTGTCTGTAGGTTAATCGAGGAGGTGTTACAGTGATTTTACTTGATTAGTTGGGATTTTCTCTCCTCGTTTCTACAGAATAAAGATATGAGTTTCATTTCAATATACAGTGTGTCTCACTTTTCATGGAAACACCCCCGTATCTTACGTAATCGTAGGGTTAGGATCCTGAAATTCGCTGGAGCGGAAGATATATCAAAAACGTACTCTATGACCAAGTGGGGTAATATTTAGTGATATGCACTGCTCGCCAACAGCCATGGAACCACTCCAATTTCTGAAAAATGATATAAGGAGGCATCAGAATAGGTTGAAAATCACTACGGATCCGGAATTATGACGCCCAATTCATTGATTATTCATTCATTTCTTGAGAAAAATTTCTGTTCTGAAAATTTCATTTTAGTCTCACTCTTCATGGAATTAACCCTGTATCTTACGTAATTATCGAGAATGTTAAATTTCCAGGAGCAAGAAATATTCCGAAGATACAGCTCGCTAGCAGCCCTGGAACCACCTACATGTCTGGAAAATCATATTAGCAGACAAGATAGGTTGGAAATCAATTCAAATTCGAGAACCGAAAACAGAATGTCAAATTCATTGACTACTCATATTCCATCTGAAAAATGTTTTGTTCTGAAATAATAAATTCTGTTTCTTTTTTCATGGAAGCACCCCAGTATCTTACGTAATTATTGATGTAGGAGTCTAAAATTTTAAGGACCAAGTAAGATACCAATGACCAAGTAGGGTCACCGACATTCCAGGAGGAAACATTTATTAAATCGGAAAATTCACCAGATGATTGTTCTGAAATTGATGATCATACAGTCAGTCCTCATTGGGGATAATGAAATACCAATAAAATCTAGAACAATCGAATAGATTATCAGGAGTGATCCAATGGATCAAATATCATAACAGGTACCTATCATTGAAATGAATTATGAATGAATGGATTCCTCAATAGTATGAAGAAAATCGTAGCCGATAATAATGCGTCAAAATATGGAAAGTTAGTGAATTGGACGTCCTGTTTTCGAATCCGAAGTGATTTTCAACATCTTGTCTCGACATTATTTTCCGGACATGTGTGTAGTTCCACGGCTCTTGGCGAGCAGTGTATATCACTGAAGATGACTCCACTCGGTCATAAAGTACATTTTTGGCAAATCTCTCGCTCCAGCAAATTTCGGGATCCTAACCCAACGATTACGTAAGATACGGGGGTGTTTCCATGAAAAGTGAGACACACTGTATGTGTAGTAGGACAAATCAGATGAGAAGTGTCAAACTATAAGAACAGAATTTTCGAAGAAAACTATTTTGCATTTTTATGTTGAGAACGAGAGCAGATGCGTTCCCGAAACGTCCAAAGATAAGTAAAAATTCGATATTTTTTCTACATATTTCTTCGCTTCAAACATTTTTCCAAACAAAGTGTCACTGGAAAGCTATTGGACTCTTCTTTTAGGCTCCTTGATAAAGAACATTGTTAAACGCAGTGACATGTTGGGGCGAACCAATTGATTGAAAGCATACTCATATTTTTAATTTGTAGGAGGGGGAAAACTCGTTATCACATGACGGAAGTATGTATGGAATAATAGCAGCAAATGAATCGCTGTGCCGTGGATTCAGCTAAGACTGAGGTGTGGCACAGGTAGGTTGAGATCTACCATTCAAATCAATCACGAAAAGCGAGTGAAAATTTCCGCACAAGAAAGTGCATTTTTTTAATCATTTTGCTCAGAATAGTGATTGACACAATGTTTTACTCTCTTTGGGACATATATCATCTCGTTATCAGATGACGGTAAAAATCTGCAGCTGGCTCTCCTATACTATTGGATTTAATTTGTATTAGCATAATCTGATGGATGATGATACAAACATAATTGGTCAATAAATATCATTCTGAAAAAATATTGAGGTAAACAGAGTAATTTTAATTACCTTCCAAATAAAGACAAAAAATCTGAAACAGTTTCGACTGTCAATGATTCAGATTCTCCTGTAGTAATTTTTTGTTTCATTGACTCTCCTATTTCCAGTGTTATCGATTTACTTCCAATCGTCTGTTTTTTCTTCAATATCTCTTCTGTTCCATCTACAAAAATCGTCATTGAAATCAAGTCATCACCAACAATATGTTATCATTGAAAAGGTATCGAAATATTATTACTTATACCAGCTTTTATCAGCCAAGCTGCTGACTGTTAAATTAACTATCATAATAAAATGAAATTTGGATTGGAGGTATTATAACAAATTGAACATGCTTAAACTATTAGATGAGCGTATAAATACTGTAGAATATCAATAACTCTATGACAAATTTTTCATACTTTCCAAGATATGCAGTATGATGCGAATACATGAAATAAACTCATTATTTCAAACATAGGCGACTGACCTAAATAATCCAAAAACACATGAGTTCTGATTTTTGAAGCTCCATCTCATGATATTTATATGATAGATGTACCTACATGGAGAAAATGGAATCGTTGAATCAAGCAAGAATAGTTGACTGAAGCAAATTTAAGTATAATACTATATGCACGACAGAATATAATCTTGAAATGAGTAAATCTATATCTTGTATCAGCGAATTTGAAATTTATTGAATCAAGTAAATTTGTCTTGCATGAACTCTGGATCTTATTTAATGAACCACAACCATGAATTGTTTGTGAAGACATGTTGAATTGGCTCAAACAATCATTTTGTTTGATACAAGATGACAAGATATTGATTCAATCAAATATTCAGTTGATTCAATGAAATATTTCGTTGTAAATGTATTATTTGGTTGATTCAATGAATTGTTTATGGAGGCATATTGAATTAGATCAAACAATCATTTTGTTTGATACAAGATGACAAGATATGTTTCAATCAAATATTTAGTCGATTCAATAAAATATTTCGTTGGTTGAATGGCGGAAATTTTACTCCATGTTGAATGAACGAAATATTCCATTGATATTTCATATTTTGTTGCTCTATTCAAGCAAATGATCCGTTTGCAACGAGTTCATTACTACATCAGAATAAGAGAACTTGTAAGTTCTTTTGGAGTTATATTCTTAGAGAAATGATCTTCATTTCATCAAAATAGAATAATCATGTTTATCTGTCTAATTCTACGAAAAATAATTTGTTGATGCAACAATACCTTTTTTCCATGTAACATCACCGCTACTGGAGTAATAACATATTATCGACGATATTTTTTTAATGCAAACAGTGAACGTGACACCTCAATCAGGAGGTATTCTAGTTGTCTATCCAACAGTATGATTATTCGAATATTCATTCATACAGGGTGAACCGGAATTGTTTATTTATCGAGATATAAAGAAATAAATGAATGTTCAAATGAATGTTCAAATTCACGACTTTCAGTTATTTTTTGAAAATCCAATGCGGCGTTACCGAAAGAAATTTTTAGGAAACGCAGACACTTTTGAGAAATAATTCATCATTTATTATATCAAAAATTCGTGAAAACATTCGAATGTGTCAATAATATGACACGGAACTTCAATCTCTATAAGAAATTATAGAAGCTGATGGTCATTAATCCAATTATCACGAATTTCAAACGCTCTCAATCAATTCTTCTCATAAAATAATAGGTACATCCAGTTATATCTATGAATTGAGAAGAAAATTCGAAATTTACGATATCACAATAGTGTACGCATAAAGTGTCTTCCTTTCCTGAAAAAATCCCTTGGTAACGCCGCATTGGATTTTCCAAAAAAAAAAAACTGAAAGTCATGAATTTGAACATTCATTATTATTTCATTGTATTTCAATGAATAAACAATGTTGGTTCACCCTGTATCAATACATATTCGGATAATCATACTGTTGGATAGACAACTACTCAGACGAATAAAGAGGACAACTAGAATACCTCTTGATTGAGGTGTCACATGTTCTCTGTTTGCATTCGAAAAAATCGTCGATAATATGGTAGAGTTGAATACTTACTGGAAACGATAGTTCCTTTTTTAGGCAGTAAATTCCCGTTTTCCACCAACACATCCTGAATGCCATCCATCTAGAAAATTCCGACATTATTCACCATGTATGTTGAAGAACATGACCGAAACGATTAAAATCCGATAACACCTAATAAAACCCAACAATTTGTAATTAACGTTCCTCAGCTTTCTCCAAAAAATTTGATCGAAACTTCAATTATTGGTTTTGTTTATATTTGCATATCATAGTTTGATCAACCAGTTCAACTGAAATGGCAAATTTTGAACAAACTATCGATTTCCTATCACGCCCATGATGAAGCTACATGTAGGGCTTTCATTCAAAAACTTACCACCCTACATATCTTCTGATCTGCGGTGATTAAAATTATCAAAAAAAAGTTGGTTTATACAGGGTGGGTCACGGTCGATGGCACCTTAGACGTTTACGGAGAACGGGACATGAGATCATTCTGAAAATTTGGTTACTCAAGTAATTGCTCTTGATCTATCGATCTAAAATATTTTCAGCTCTGCGGCGTCGCCGCTTCTATCGAAAAGTAGCATTAACTTTGTTATTTTAAATAGAACACCCTGTATTTTATCGCATTTTCAGATTTTCTCTGAAGAGCTGATTCCATCGATGTATCACACTTGGGGTCTAGCGGAAATGATTACAGAGATATAGGGTGTGAAAAATCTACATTTTTCAACTTAAGGAATACAGGGTGGTGCAGAATTCAGATTCTTGATCACCCGGTATATGTCCCAATTAAATATCAGTAGATAGTTAATCAAAAGTTGAGATAGGGACATGTTAGCCGTTTTGACCAATAATGAATAGTTTCGACAAAAAAAATTCATTAAGTTGAAAAATGTCGATTTCTCACACCCTATATCTCTGTAATTATTTCCGCTAGACCCCAAGTGTGATATATCGATGAAATCAGCTCTTCAGAGAGAATCTGAAGATGCAATAAAATACAGGGTGTTCCATTTAAAATAACAAAGTTGTTGCTACTTTTCGATAGAAGCGGCAACGCCGCAGAGCTGAAAATATTTTAGATCGATAGATCAAGTAACCAAATTTTCAGAATGATCTTATGTCTCGTTCTCCGTAAACGTCAAAGGTGCCATCTACCGTGACCCACCCTGTATATCGAGGGGGAAGTAGAATACTAGCATTTCGATTGTTCATTCCCTTCACCCTCAGACATCCCTACTTTGAAACCGTACAAAAAACCAAGTATTGCCGAAGGCAAGTACTTCTCGTCCACAGACACTAACTTATCGTCCGCGAACACTTTTCGTCCGGTGCAGGGTTGCCAGTTCCATTGGATTTTTTGTAGATCTCCTGATTTGCATATTGATCTACTGATCTACTGAAACATTTTATAGCCTACTGAAAAATAAAGTGAGACTCATTTAACATTATAATTACTTATATCATTATCAATCTTCAGTTAATCACATACACTTTCAAATTGCATGATATTTCGGCACGCTCTGTTCAAATTAATTTTACAGAATAAGTAATACATTTATATATTGGTACTAATGATATGTATGAAACAAAAAAGAACATTACTTAATCTGATTCAGATCGAATTGAAATTTTTATATTCATTTGTAATTACAGTTTGTTTCTCACGTTCACATTTTTTATTTGTTTGTATTTTTGTTGTTCATTTCAACTTCTCGTTCCTGTTTTTTATATTCTCAAATTCCATGAGTACAGTTACAGTTACATAGATAACTGTATTTTGTGATATTTGTGAGTATTTTCAAATAGAGAATTGAAAATGATTTTACCTCTTCGATTAGCATTCAATAATATATAATTAAAAACATCTGAATGATAATTGTTGATAAGTATATATGAATATGAATAATTAAGGTGATGAACAAAGCATTTAGTCGATACTAGTATCCCATTTCCCCCTCAATATCTAAATCGTACTATTTTTTCAAAAAATTGTCACCACGAGGTAAGCAGCCCGCATGGTCTGAGTTTTGGAGATTATTCGAGAACATAACATGAAATCTACATTGGATTTCATTCAAAATATGATTGCTTGACATGTTCCACTACAATATTGATTGAACGACAGTGAAGCATCAGTAGAATTAAATTCCTAATAAAACATGCTACAGATAATAATAAAAATGCGAAATAATTGGGCCATTATGAGCTATACTTCAAAAGGAAATACCGTGTGGAGTTTGGAATAACTGTATCAATCAACATTATTGCAATTTTTATTTTATAGGAAATCACTGAAAGAATGAATAATTCGGCTTTTGGTCGATACCACGAAACCTCAACGGTCCAAAGCCGAAGAGAAATAAATGTCTGGTAAACTGATAGTGAAATAAACTGATAGTAAACTAATAGTAAACTAATAGTTAACTGATAGTAAACTGATAGTTAACTGATAGGGATCATAGTAAACTAATAGTAAACTTATTGTAAACTAATAGTAAACTAATAGTAAACTGATAGTAAACTGATAGTAAACTAATAGTAAACTAATAGTAAACTGATAGTAAACTAATAGTAAACTAATAGTAAACCAATAGAAACTAATAATAAACTAATAGTAAACTAATAGTGAACTAATCTTAATAGCCGAAGTGTAATAGACGAAATTGGAATAATACATTCCAAACCAAAATGATACTTCACCTGAGGTTTAGTATATATTGATTTTCCGTTCAGGGTTCCAGCATGAGCAAGTGCCTGATCCAAATTCAGCTTGTTTTCGTAAAAAGCAGCAACAATTACTCCAGTGGAGTCCCCTTTAGCTGCCACCACTTGCGTATTCAACTTCTTCAGCACCATAGCCACACACATGGATGTTATAAAATTGCCCAATGCATTGTTTGCTTTCCTTATGATAGGGTCTTTACTAAGAATCGTTGATTTTATATCGATTTTATTCTTGACGAGGATGATTCGTATCCTAGAAAAATGATATCCGAAATGATCTAAGATAGGTATAGAGAATAAGGTGAATACAAATGATACGATATTCGGTGGTAATGAACATGTATAGAATAGTCATTTATTCACCAAGGTAGTGAAGCATATCATCATCACCAAGGGACGAAGATTATATCCTGAGGCTTCATCCGAGAGATATATGGTCCTGCGGAAATGATATTCTTTATTATCAAGGTGTATATCAAATTTCGATTATCCTGCGAAACTCGTATCAGAACAATGAATTCGGGGCAATCATAACAGATGTGGTTTCGTCTATATTGGCTATAGTAGTTCATGAAATGACGAAAAGTAAGTACCTTGAAAAGGAGTAACGTAAGTTGTACACCTATAGTGGTTGAAAAAATATATGTTCCTACTGCTGTATGAAATGAATATCTGCTACCTACCGAGTTCTTAATATTGTTCCTTTCAACACGGATTTTCATTATGAGACAGATTTTGGCCAACGACAACACATACTTTTCAATATGGAACTACTTTTCGGTCTATATCGAAACACGTACTTGGGTGTGATCAAGTGGGTCTATATTTGACATTTAATTTCAATGGATACTCAATCACAACACGTCAAAAGTACAAGCAATTCATTGAGTGGAGATGTTGAAATATAAAATATTCTTAAATGAATCTTGTTTTCATTTTATTAATTAATGGTCGTATAACTTTTGAGGCATAAACCTCGTTGCCTCATGCATATCACAGTCCCCACTTATATATGGTGATTGATTATCCATTAGCAAACTTAGCAAGTATTACTCACATGCTGATTTGACCAAGTAGGTACATCAGCAATTGATTACTCATATATGTTCCATTGTAATAATTTATGTGAAAACATAGGTGTGACATTAGTGTATTTCAACTTTTGAGAAACGAATTGATCGAAATCATTCAAACGTGACCTCACCAAAATCCATATTTGGTAAACAATAGTTGAAAAACATGAAAGTTGCAGCAGAAATTCTCCATTCGTACTTTTAAAGTGTTCGACTTTGATCAATTTGAGATACTCGCCAGCGGCATATATTCTATTGTTATTATTTCCAATTAGGATTTCCTCATTAATCTTAAATTACACATCCTCTAAGACTGAAACAGATATACGTGCCTGCGTCATAGTCAAAAAAAAAATATTTTTTCTGCAATCGCCTCAAAAGTCGTCCATTTTGTTCCAAAATTAGCTCTCGACATTGTCGTTCCTCTTAATGACACAATAAAATGATTAGTATGTATGTTGCTAGGCAACACACACTTTCAGTGTCTAGGCGCTAAAGTTGAAGTTTAACTCCTTGGAACAAAAAACGTGTCCGATGAGAGGTGATATGATATAGCTGCTTTGACACTGACATGTTCAAGTGACTCAAAATAGTAGTATTTTCACTTATATTTTATCAATTCGGTATACATTTTTTCCATTGCCGAAAAAATAGCATGATTCATTCAGATCGAAAGCGACTCTGTTTGACTCGCAAAATTTGCATGCTCGGCTTCTCGGTCGCTTCGCCTCGCAAACGCAAATATCGCTTGTCAAACAAAGTCTCACATTTGATCCTAATAAATCAATGTACTATTTCATTAACACGAAATATGTTTTTAGTTGACACTTTTTGATTAATAATAACAAAACATTAGCACTGATAGCTAGTGCTCCTGATTCAAACAGTATACCTTTCAATGGTTTCTTGAAATACTGGCAGTTCCATGAGTTCGTTTAGAGTTGTGTACCAGTTTTTGAATTCTCCAAAAACTAAATATAATGGTAGCCTCTCCAGGGATATCCTTTTGATAGATCGCCTCAGTTCAGTGTCTTTGGAAATCACTGTATAACCTTTGAAAATGTGGCCTGGAACATCTTTCCTGAAAACATGTTCGGAGACTATCTATGAATGAAGTAGTACAAAGAGGTTCCAATCAAAAAAACTTTTGAATTTGATGCTGATGCTCAAATGTCCATTTATTATTATCAATAGTTTCATTATTTCTGCACATATCGATATTCTGCTAATTAACTTTTTCCTAATTCGAGTAACTGTGTTTGTGTTCCACAAACAATAGCATTGGAATGTATAATCAGATTAGTAAAAGGTTGAAACCACCAGTTAATTGATAAGTAGTTATTTATTGCATAAGTGCCATGAAATGTTTTATCCACAATCATTCTCATTTAGAATCAGAATCGCTACAATCTTCCATCAAATATGATTGACAGAGGCTGTAACCTCAAAGATTTTTGAAATCACGTAAAAAATATGGGGAGGCGTTGAATAGTTGCTATTTATTTTCTTGTCTTCCATTTGTATTATGTGAAGTTGGTGAAGAATGCAAGAAAATAATTATGTTCCTGATATAATCCTTGAGGAAGCTGAAGAAGCAACACGTCAAATATTTCCTAAGTCCAGGGAAAATTATAAAAACTATTTTTTCTCTGATAGGCAGCAAATATTAATTTTGCTGACACATATCAATCAGCAAAGTATTACTTTTCCTGCCTAGGCAGCAAAGTGGTTACTTTGCTGATCGATATGTATCAGCAAAATTAATAATCCATAAATCTTTTATAATTTCCTTCATATTTCATCCGAGACTTCTCCGGCAACGAATTCAACTCTATATGTTTTGCCACCTCCCTAATTTCTGGAGGTGTAAGTACTTCCAGGTCGCTATATCACTGTCCATTATATAATAATTTAAATATACCGATATTTTTTCGCACGACTGTCAGAAATTTCATGAATTGTCAAACTATAATTATTATGGACATTTCCATAGCAACCAACCATTCCAACAACTGCGATTTCTATCAAATTTCATTTTAATTAAACACTACAGGAAAAATGAATAGATATATATTATTATGAACAATCGGAGAAAAAATAATATGTTCAACTCGGCAGCAAAGTAGATTGACTGCCTTAGCTGGATTCCTAGCCTCGCTACGCTCGGCTATGAATTCAGCCTCGGCAGTCAATCTAGTACTTTGCTGCCTAGTTAAACAAATAACTATTCCTAATTCAATAAATGTAATTGGCAACGGAGAATAATGACAATAAAAGATGAAGTCCTGCTATCGTATTTTCCACTTTTGAAGAAGAATTATGATCTAGATATAGCAAACATCCAAGGTTCTCCTAGTACTTAGTTATCAAAAACTTCGACAGGCACTATGCGTTCTGAAACCGATGATAACTAAATGCGGCTATAACACAAAATTGCTCTTGTTTTACTGTGTTCGATACGTTAATGAGGTACTTTGTATGTCATCAATATTATGTCCGTATCTGATATCACAATGACTACATCGTGTTATTATTTAAAAAAGAATCTCATCGCTCATGGAATGTCAAATGTGAAGCAATGACAGCTCTGTCTAATAGATGAGCATTACTTGACAGGAAATCAGATGGCTACAAGACGAAGAAATCGAAAATGCCGCTGTTATCAATTATAGCCGTAGAAAAATTATAGTGTTTAACTTGCACGTAATGCTAATTTCCTATACTCGAATGATTGCAGCATTCGCCTATGGCTCATGCTGCAAACTTCATTCTCGTAGGAAATCAGTATCATTCCGTGCTCGTTAAACAATATACTATTATCTATGGATACGAAATGGAATATGACAAAGAACCCAATTTATATTCCTATGAATGTTCATGATGATACCTATTAATAATGAACAGGGGAAATCTGATTGAGTCAAGATTGTATTTTTCATTATTCCACTAGTGAGATGAAGTGATTTAAAGCGGTAGTTTACACGGTTCATAAGTGTGGATAAAACTTGATAGTGGAATACCAGTTCAACACGAGTGAATGGTATTAGGTTCCAGAACTGGTAATATGGAAAAAATATTGTATTTCAAGAATAACGAAGTAGTTTCACAAAACTCTTACAAAACAACTGCTGTATGATTTACCTCACCTAAAAACGTTTTGCAATAATCTGATGTGTTCGGCATCATGTTTTTTCACAGCTTCGTTAAGGAGTGTTTCAACAGCTTCTCTGGAACGACCACTGACACATAATAACCTGGGTATACTGTCTGTTGCTGACTGTACTTTTTTTCTTGCTATCGCTCGCAGAAGGATATGGCCGTTACTTCCTCCAAATCCGAAGCTGTTTATACCTTGAGAATATGTCAGATTCTATTGAAATGTGATAAATATTGGGAGTCCCAGAAATACTTTTCAAGTATATATTAAGGAATGAATGTAGAGGGCGAATGACGACAACACACAAATAGTTTCTTCTTACAATCGCACAAGAAAAGAATATTTCACGTTCTCGAGACAGCACGCGAAATCAAATTTCGCGGTCGTTACCCATAGCAACAACTGTCAAACCATCACTTCCAAATTCGACATGTCTGAGATATGTAATAAGAAGGTTATTATCAGTTTGAGACCATTTTTGTGCTTTGTCTAGAACTGTCAAATTATTTTGTATACATGCCGTATTTTTCACTATATATAGGCATCTCGGAAACGACGGTTGATGATACGAAGTTGGTTGAATTGCAAATTCGAAACAGAGAAAGGAGTTTCTTGAACACATTTCCATATTTCTAAAAATGGATACGCTAGCGCGATCAAAAGTAAATCAGCCCTTTCGGGTTTGCCGGTATATTTGGAAACCATTCGTGATATTCTCAATTTACAGCAAATATGTTATTTCCATGCCAACACTGTGACTCAATTGAATTTTGAATTGAACTGGTGACACTGATGTTGATGTTAAAGCAAAAATATATTCATATGCAATTATCTAGTTCCACAATGTACGAAACATAGTGTGTATATCATGAACGCCAAACTTTTTTCTTCACTCCACAGCAGCTTTTTTCATCCATACAAAACTTTGCTGCTTATCAGAGAAAGTACCTAGAGAACTCATGGAAAATTGATTTATTACTACTATATTTCACTCTCATAATCCCGACTGAATGAGATACAGATATTCAAATAAAAATGGAATGATTTATTCTATACTTTTCTAACTTGACTTCATTGCTTACTCATGAAATCAACTGAACAAACTTTTGATCAGGTTTTTATAGACTGAAAAAGTCGAAATACAATACAGACAATACGAAATTAGAGCATAGCAAAACTGAATAAACAGTTGGTCAACAATCTATAATTCGGGAGAAGCATTGAATTGGATTTTCATATTGAGTCTGACAATACGTTATGTCTGAAGATTCCTTCTTTTCTTTCGAGCAACTTTGTTCAACAAGATATAGTCTTATCTTTCTGTCTACAAAACTTGATCAATTGTAGCTAGAAATATATATCATGTTCTTCAACTTGCAGTTCTGATGCCACATTTTGAGTTGTATTGTTCAAAACAAATTGATTGAAATATAAATGTGAGAAGTGAAGGAAGGTCGAGATATTTCTCCTAGGAATAGAACCTATTTTTCTGAAGACTCATTTTCTGAACTTGAAGCCGAAACAATCGGCTGCTATTTTGTGTATATTCTACAAGCGTAAGCAAATCTCCACACGTTATTCAGAGTACACTTCAGTTTTTTGATAAAGTCATAAAATGATTTCTAACCTATAACTGGTTGTTCAGCTTCCAACTCTGTTACTTCTGTCACGACTTTGAGTCTACCTTCCGTGAGTGCGGGGCACGGCCTAGGTTCTTTGAAATGCAAGTTTGGAGAAATTTGATTCGATTCCATTGCTAAAATCACCTGAAACAACATTCTCAAAATATTCATGTCGAATTATCGGGACACCTCACTTACTTTAACGGTTGAGCACAAGCCAGATAGTGGTTCTGAATGACCTATACTGGATTTCACAGACCCGATCAGTAAAGGCCCGTCTCGATTTTTCGTGAGGACATCATCTATAGCTGTGCATTCTTCAGGGTCCCCAGCTGGTGTACCTGAATTATAATCGAATGGAACTAATCACTAGATATAATTGATTTTTAAAATGAATATATTATTTTAGGTAATTTATTAGGTAGCTCTCGTGAACAAATCGTACATTCATCCCAAGGAAGTTTCTTAACTATAAACTCTGATACACAGGGTGTCCGTTTTTCGATCTCCACAAAGGAAATCACAGTTATTGTAAGAGATACGAGGTCGGTTGAATTAGGACAAAGTTGCGCATTTCCATGCTGAACATTTATCTGCAAGAAAATCTGATGTGTCATTTTTAGTTTTCGAATTATCGGAAGGAAACAAAAATTTACAATTTTCGTCTTTATTTTCCCAAGCAGAAACAAAAAGACCTAGACGTTTCTGACTGGGACGAGGAATCTGATTCTGTCGTTGTATTTTCCATAACGTTCTCGATGCCAAAGTTATAACACACAACTTTGTTTTTTTTTATGGGCGCCATATTGGCATTTTGAAAAGTTTTTTTTTCCATTACAATGATGTATCACACGATTTGATCGAATATTTCCTGTTGATCAAAATTGGGAGAAAATCATTTTTGCGAAGGGATCTTTGGAAAGGACGCCAACAGTTTTGTTTAATAAGCTGAATTTTTACAGTTTATTTGAATTTGTATCAGGAACGTTCTCATTTTCAGAGAGATTCAGATTCCTTGTAGAAAAGTGTCTTGAGAATGTCCTAGTCAGAAACGTCTACATCTTTTGGTTTTCACTTGAAGAAATACAAACGTCACAAATTTTCGTTTTCTCCGTATAATTTAATTTCTAAAAATGACATATCGAATTTTCTTGCAAATAAATGTTCAGCACGAAGAAAGGCAACTTTGCCCTAATTCAACCGACCTCGTATAAAGTGAGTTTTCCATCGAAGAAGAACTAATTAATAATTATTTATTGGAGTCCTAACATAAATTTCCACTCATCTCGCAACAAGTAGGTCAATTCTTTCGATGAAACGAGACATATATAGGAGAAAACTTTCTGAAGTGGAACAATAAAGTACATTTCATGACCAACGTCGTACATTTTCCACATCGGAGTTTGATTCATTACTCTCATAAAATCCTGATCATTATCAGCACATATTGGTCAATGATTCATCCAGAACAATGTCGGTAGTTTGCTCCCCCGTTTAATACACCGTTCTTCTTATTGTGCAAAGTGTTTTGATAAAAGATGTTCATCTTAGAGTTTTGTTCGTTTTGAACACATGGATTTTTTATTGTATCGAGTTACCCTCAAGGATGGTCCTGTAGGGGGTTTAGAGGGGGTAGTTATCTCCCCGTTACAGTTCGTGATTTCCCAAGAAATGTCAGCTGTCGCTTTCGTTGCATTGCAGAAAATAGGTACAGGCAAATTGAATGTACAGGGTGGGCAAAATTGGGCGTTTTCGCCGTCTATCTCAATAACTAGAGGAGTTATCGAAAAACCGATATACATGTTATGGGTTCGATTTTGGAGAAACCTCGAATGGCACAATCAAAATTTCGATATCTTCATTCGTTTTAGAGATACAGGGAGAAATTGAAAATTTGCCCATTCCGATTTTATTTTCTGACTACTTTACGGTGAGAGGTATCAAAAAATTTCAAACGTATATTCATACAGTATAATGCGTGGAATCCATTGGCATCATCAGAAATTTTATACAGGGTGACGTTGAAAAGATATGGCAGCCAATTATGTTTTTTCTAATGGAACACCCCGTATATTTTGGCACTGTTGAATAGTCCCAGGCGTTTTCATTACAAATATATATATAACTCTACCTTTTCCTTCCACAATTTCAGATATATTCGCAACAATATATTCAGTGTGTCACATTTCTTATGGTTACACCCCCGTATCTTCTGTAAAAATAATTGAGGTAGGATTCAAAAATTCGCAACTGTCAGAAAGATACAAATGATACACTCATGGAGTCATGGACCAAGTGGGATCATCTCCAATGATAACACTGCTTGCCAGCAGCTATGGAATCATCGATATTTCTGGATAATGCTATCAACAGGCAGAATCGAGGTTGAAAATGACACTCTGTATATATTCACCAAAGGTGGAAAATGAATATCATAGGAAATGTTATTTCCAGACAAATGGATATTTGGTGAGAAATAAAATGGGAAATTATTCGATTTGATATCATTGTTATCAAGACATTTGAGATACAGAAATAAGACCAATAATTCACTCAATTAGGAAATCAGTAGGTTGCGTTGAAAAATATAGCCTTATAGAAGATGTCCAAATTCCAGATACAGAAGATACGGGGGTGTAACCATAAGAAATGTGACACACTGAATATATTTTTGCGAATATATCTGAAATTGTGGAAGGAAAAGGTAGGGTTATATATATTTGTAATGAGAACGCCTGGGACTATTCAACTGTGCCAAAATATACGGGGTGTTCCATTAGAAAAAACAGAATTGGCTGCCGTATCTTTTCACCGTCACCCTGTATAAAATTTCTGATGATGCCAATGGATTCCACGCATCATACTGTATAAATATACGTTTGAAATTTTATGATACCTCTCACCATAAAGTAGTCAGAAAATAAAATCGAAATCGGCAAATTTTCAATTTCCCCCTGTATCTCTAAAACGAATAAAGATATCTAAATTTTGATGGTGCCATTCGAGGTTTCTCGAAAATCGAACCCGGAACATGTATATCGGTTTTTCGATAACTCCTCTAGTTATTGAGATAGACGGTGAAAACGCCCAATTTTGCCCACCCTGTACGGTCCTCATGGTTTTTTCTACCTAACAATCATAATTATTGCATACAATGAACATTTAGAAACTGTTGAAGCGGCTCCACATTCAATAAAGATAATACAAAGAGCAAAATGAATATACAATTCTTGAGAGGAACCATGGGCGCCGCCAGAAAAAAAATTCAGGGAGGGGCATTTTTTTAAATTGATAGCATTGCATTAAATTGAAATTGAGACCCTTTCGACCAATTTTCACTACAAGTGTGGTTTAAAGAAATTACGAAAAAGTAATGGAGTGGGTTATTGAGTAGGTCAGTAGATAAGTAGAACGACGAATTTAAAAATATATATTCATTTCTCCAAAACAAAACACCTAGGTACTTTCATGGAAACAAAACTATCGCAAAAGTGAAGCAAACATGGGTGAAAGGTCCACGTCGATGGCCTTTTGGAATACATATTCTATTGAAGTATTTACGTAAAATGAACTAACTGAAGCATAATATTTCCTGAGAATAGATATAACTTGTTTCTAGATAAATATACTGTCAACAAAATCTGAAACTCTCTCGTAAATCAAATACAATTCAAATAAACTTCATATACACAATGTATACTCTTATACATGTTCGCTGAAAAGCCTTGAAAATCTGATTATTATGGAATTTTTGCTTTTGAACATCGGTCAACGGGTTTCAAATTAGGAGGGTGTTGCGTGTTGGGATCGCACACACTGCATATCTCCCATTCTTTAATAAAGTGCAAAAACATTTCCGGGACGATCAAGTGATCGCAAGAAAATATGCTTACCGGTGCCATGAGCTTCTAAAAAACTCAGGCTGCTAGGGGCTACATTGCTTTCAATGCAAACCTCCTCCATCAGAAGTTTTTGCGCCTTCGTATTGGGAAAGGTGATACCTCGCTCTTTGAATCCATCAGAATTCGTTTTACAATGAACTACCTCTGCGTAAACCCTTTTGGCGTCTCTGGCTCTCTGCAGGATTATGACGGCTTGCGCTTCAGACCTGACGTACCCATTGCCATCCTTATCAAACGGTTGACACATGCCTTCTTTACTCAGTACACCCAACCTATAAGGATATAATCATCGGTAGAAGACCATCGTATTTCAAAGAGGAGTGGTTAGTTACCAAGGATCGAAACAAAAATACGACCTTGTGTTTGGATCCTTGGGCTGTAAGAATATATTTCGGTCGTGGTCATCCTTACCAGGACTTGGTTCGGGGTCTGATGAATATCAAATCAAATAACATTTGCTATATCACAACCATCTCGAATATAAAGCCATGGTAAAATAATATTGGCAATAATGTCTGCAAGTCCCTTGGGGGCAACTGGCGATGATATAATACACAAAGCAACAAAGCGAATTTGTTCAGTTTCCATGGAATTGATGTTGCATTAATATGAAATATCGAAATTCAATGAACAGTCCTGATGATAATCAAGTGATCGAATCAAAAGTGAAAGAATATGCAAAGCTGAGTCCACCATACATTCATTCAAAAATATAGTTTCTGAATAGAGGTTACGTTTTATGTTTCCATTATTTATGGAAGTCAACGTTCATCATCAATCATAAGAAAACGCCGAATCATTGTTTGTCTGACAGGGTTAAAGTAAGTTAGCTGAACCTTCGAAAGATAATTCAATTTTTACATCATTTTACAGTGTACTGTTCATGCCGTTGAAACAGAAAGTATTATATAAATTATCATATATATATATATCATAAATTTTCAATTTCAACTCGAAAAATATAACTAAGATAGACTGGAACTGCAGTTTCCTGAATGTCTTCGAATTTACCTTAGATAATATGCAGAAAACTGGAAATTGATAGTAGGAAAATGTATAAAATCGATAGGGAAATTCAATAGAATCTATCATATATCCTGATGCATTGAAAAAAATTCAGCAAGCCGTAATGTCGAATAAGAGGCAGGCACAAGTTTCACCAGGAGATACTCATCTATCTGGAATTCAATGATTCAAAATGTATTCTTTCATATGATATGAGATTGAGTAGGTAGTCGAAACTTGAGAATAAGTACAAAGAGAGTCGGACCAAAGAACAGAGAATTATAGCTTATTTGATGAATTTTTTTTTTATCTTCTGGTTCACACGAAGAGGGATATCCTGTAATGTTCAGAAAACATCGTGAGAAGAAGAACCTCTAACATATTTAGGAAAAGCCCTCAAATATCTATTGGAAATCACTCACCTCATTCTGAACATTTCGTTAGTTCAATTGAGTAAAGTTTGAAATGAGTTCATATTAAGAATAGTAGCTATTTTTCTTGTACCTTGATTTTGTCTTTCATGTTGTACGACACTTCTCATTTATCACAAATATTAGGTTCACAATTAACATTGCAATTGGTGAACTCTGATGGTCGATGTAAAATCGAATTTGACAGTTGTTATCATATCTAGGCGACTGAATAAAACCTGACCCATAATTCCATGCAATATTTTTCAAAGTTCCATTATTTCAAAGTCAGAAAATGACGTTATACTAGCGCGGATATAGCGATAACTTATTTTTGTTTGGCTTTTCCATTCTTCCCAAGTCTATTGAAAGAATTTGGAATCACATAGGTGCGGATCCAGGAGAAAAGGGGCGTGAGGGCCATGCCTCCCCCTTCCTCGCAAATCTCCTGATGTGAAAATGTAGTCGTACCTAGCATAGTTAGTGGCCGTTGAAATAGTGCACTATTCTCTGCTTATGCTCTCTGTTATTGTTTGTCAAAGTCAAATAGTTGAAAGGCGCTATGGTTTTGGGCGGGTTTTGTCAGTCAGCCTGTATATTTATGGAATATATCGAATATTTTGAACTTGTTCGTTTTTGTAACAGGAATTTTGATACTCGAAGGAGATCTGAATATTATTTTATGTTCACTAGACCTAATCTGTCTGAAAAATAATACATTCTTTCCACAAGGCACTTGGCTGAAATTTGTTTTTCTTCTTTGCTATACTCCCCCTCAAACATCGCCTGAATCCATTCCTGGAATCACGGCAACGCAGGGTTACGCAAGCTTGTTATTGGAGATGGCTGTAACCATATCAATCCGTGAATAACGTATTAAACACCTACCATGCGAATTGTAGTGTGGAACCAGGTGCCAGGCAAAAGTTGTGACCACACACTATGGCAGCATCACATCGACCCTGACTTATAGCCTGGTAAGCGCTATCCAGAGAATGTAAGGTGGTGCTGCAGGCTGTGTCACAATGCACTACGGGTCCTTTCAATCTGAGGTGATGGGCAATATTTGAACCTAGAAGGGTTTTTAGCCTCCTGAAATTTTCGAAATGAGAATGAATATCCATGTAGTAGATAACCAATGAGGTAACGAGGTCAAAAACTGATGCTATTTTTTATTGAGGCCGATTGTGGTGGATACTGTACATTTATTTCAGGGAGAAACGGAAATAGACTGAGTGAAATCGTTACACATCAAGACAGAATGACATCGAACCCAACTTGCTTCCCAATTAATGTAAGGATGTACACGCTTTGTCACAATGTAGTACGTGTCATTTCAATCCGAGGTGATAGGCAATGTTCGAACCTAGTAAGGTTCTCAGTCTCCATATATTATCGAAATGCAATTGAAAAATTACGTAGTAGATAATCAATGGAGCTCTGAAGTCAGACTCCTATGCTATTATTGATGGAGTTCAATTTTCATAGATTTTCAACATGTATTTCTGGAGAAGGTATATGGTCTGGGTGGAATTATCACACACAATGGCAGCATCACATTGACCTTGAATTGAAGACTCATAATTACTGTACCAGTAATGTAAAGTAGTACTGAATGCTTTGTCACAATACACTTCCGATCATTTCAATTTGATGTTATTGACAATGTTTGCATCTAGTTGGGATTTTAATTGAAATCATCATCATGAGATTAAATATTTATATAGTAGATAGCCAATGGGGTTGCAAGTACAAATCATATGACATTATTAATCATGGTGGGAACTGTACATGTTTTATTTCAATGGGCAAGGGATAAGGTCTGAGTGAAATCATCACATACGATGGTATAATCACATCGAGATCGACTCATACTAGGTGCTTCCCAGGAAATATAAAATTGTGCTACACGCTGTATCACAATGCACAACTGGTCTTTTCTATTCGAGGTGATGAGCAATAGTTGAACCTAGTGGCTAGTTGGGGTTATCAGCCACCTGGAATCACCTTTTTGAGATTGATTATCCATGTAGTAGATATATTGTGGTCTGAGGATAAAATTATCTGCTTTTATTCATCAAGGACAATGCAGGAGAAGACTGTAAATAACTTCCCTGAACTTTTTTTGGGGTTACCTAAGAAATCTTGTGATGTTACCGTCGTAGAAACAGTTACACCAAAGAATTTCCGATGCTTTCCGAGTTGCTCAGATCACCACATGTATTTTCAAACAAGTACGTCAAAATATGATGAGACGGTGCAAAGCCTGCATCGAAGCAGGTGGCCGTAATTCTGAACATTTCATGTGATTTTATCATATGTCTTTTTTGTTTCCATGAATATCAATATGCAATACAATACAACTTTGGATAATATCAAGATTTTAATAGAAACGTAATTTTTTCATCTTGGAAACTAAGCATTCACGGACCTATGTTCATATAAACTTTTTTTATATTTTTGTCATCACAATTCTAAAACACCCTGTATAATAGTTACCGTAGAAACATCGGCTTAGCATCATTCTCTGCTATTGGCTTATAAAATTTTGTGATAGATTCTTCATTCGATACGCCTGTGAAAATACCAGTCTTCGAATTTTCCAAATCTTTTGGATTCATTCCAGCATCAAAAATTGCTTCAATTACCCTTTCAAGCACCATTCTGGTACCTACGTAGGAATTATCTACCTCGTTCATGTTGAGTCCTGGAAAAAAAATGGGTACGTTCAAAAAAGTTTGGGATCGACATATTTTCGAATATTTTATCACAGTATCGCTCGCTCTGCTTTCTTAATGGAATAATCATGGATAAAAGAGTCCCCTGGAAGGACGCGCTGGGAATCATCAATGAAGGTAATCATTATTGTTGTTTATTTGTATAATTTAGTTTATTTATTTTGTCAAAAGACCCTCAATTTTTTTTTCAAATGGATAAATTTCCTTACTAACACAAACATTTTCCATCAGTTGTTTCTCTCCAAAAACTGACATTAGATGTCAGATTTTATCGTGAAATTGTTGCTATAACATTTGGTTTTATCTGTTTCAAACGCTGTTGGTTCGAGAAACTATTTTTTTGCAGCTGGTTCACAAGAATCACATAGTTATGTAGAATGTTCTGAGCCTGAATATAAAATGCAAAATCACCATCAATACAGTATAAAAGCAATAACTGACCAGAAGGTTTGATCAAACTCTTTACTTACTTACTTGATCATGAAATACAATTTTTGGAGTTCAAGATGATTGAGCGAAGTCGCATCTTTGGTTTCATTCCAGAAGGATAGGTTATTCGAAATTGTATCGAAAGATAGGAATATCTTCTATAAAGCTTCACAGGTGTCTGTACGACACTGAATTCCAGAAAATCTCAATATAGTTGCGAAAATAAATGCGAAAGTTGCGATGCGCATTAAACTCATCTTATAGAGCCATAGACGTTCACGTTCGTCATGAGAAAACCGAGCTCATACCAGAGGCGGATAGTAATATAACCCCACGATACATATTAGCTGTTATGGCTGCAGAATCTCATCATTAAATCTCTATATTTATAATATTTTCCATAACTCCATCTGAATACTGGAATTAAAAAGATGCGACTCTGTGATTAGACAGTTTCTTCTAAGATATTGTTTTCATAATGTAAATAGCTATATGAAGTTAGCAAGCTCACTGAAGCTTCAACCTAGCATTTGATTCCATACACAGGTCATTGTAATTTTTATATTTTTCAATTTCACTTTCTCCTTCTTAATATTTTGTATGTAATTCCTCCAATTAACTCATCAAGTCTTTTGTTCTTGGTATTTTATTCAGATCATTTGATGTTCCATATTTTAAATATCATGTATTTTATTAGCACTTTGGTGATTGAGGGTGGAGATTATTATTATTTTGAAGCAGTATTGCTAATGTAATCATGACGTGCCGTACATGTTATTTAAATAACATGATAAAATGACTTACTCTACTCTAGAGTGCCTCGAACATCTCATTTCACGCCTTTTATATAGTGTGGATACATTTGGCACTACTGACCTTTCCGAATTATCAGAATTCTCAGATTTGCAACGTCAGATATGGAAATTGAAAATTTCGAAGAATGATGGTTAACATTTATTTGTGTTGTTCAAAGACGAGACGACATTTTAAGTGTTCGTTGGAGCTTCAAAGTCCAATAATTATTTAATGGAAATACATTCATCGACAGGGGCGGCGAGTGCATGGGGGCATCGGGGCCAATACACCCATGCAGTCATTGATTATGGGTGCAATGCAGAATCCGATCTTCTTAATTTTTTATAGATCTACTTTTTATTTCCTTCTCGGAGTTTAATATATTTGTCCTTTCATAAAAACTTTCATTGACTAATTTTAATAATAATCTTTTTCTCATGTTTGTTCGTATCTCAGTTTTCATTAACATCACGTAACATCAACTTCTGGAGAAAAAGTTTCGACTCTGGAGGTGAAACAATTTTTACATTTCTGGTTTGCTTGATATTTCTCTCGGAATGTTTTTCACTGTTTAGATAATGTTCATTCGAAGAGATATTGAGAAAAACTTTCAGTTATAGTCATTTCTCGAGTCATTTTCAAAACAAACGAAAAATGTTCACTCATTATCTCAACACAGTCAAAAAATGAGTAATGCTTTACTTCCAGACATTGTCATCCAAACCAAAAGTGAGGTTGCTTCTTTGTCATCTGAACCATCGAACCAATCATAAGAATATCGATAACCTACAAAATATCTCGTTGTTCAGGGTTATGGAAGGTCCTTTTCTTACCTTTTGGATCGCATGCAAAAGATTCTAAGGTAGGCAATAAACTTCATGAAAGTATAAGACGCAAAACCAAAGGTATTCTACACCTTATAGCAATGGCCCATTTTTGATTGCTTTACACCCCCTCTTCTGGCACTTATTGAACATCACGAATTTCGCCCCGAATCTCACTTGACGTATGGAATCATTGGATGGGGAGGTGTATCACGAACTTACCTCAACACCCTGGAAATCTCTCAAAAGAGGTTCCTCAGGCTGTTATTACAAAAAGATAAAAGATATTCTAGTGACCTACTTTACTCTGAAACCAACATCCTAGATATTAGGCAATTATTCATTGTTCAATTAGCCATTAGACAACATTCCAATAAGAATAAATTAAGAGAATTAACCCATGCATATAACACCAGAAGAAAACATGACTTTGTTACACCTCTAACGGAGAAGTCAATAGGACAAAGATGTTACAATTATTTAGCTCCCAAACTATACAACTTTCTCCCTCGCGAGTGGAGTGCCGAACCCTCCCCCTTTCTCTTCAAAAAACAATTAAAAATTTTTATACGAGCCACACCAAGAAAAGAATTACATAGAATTATCGAAGAATAAACATTCCTGTATAAAAAAAAAACTGTCTAAACCTTAGTGATTGATGTTTTATATGTTTTATGTACTATTTGGTATCTACAAATTATGTTTATTTATATAGCTGAAAAAAAAATTGTACTCAACCTTATTTATTGATTTCTTATATGTTTTATGTGTTATTTTGTATTTATAAATTATGTTTATCTATATAGTATATTTCCCATGTTATTTACCACACACAGGGTTCTACCCTCAGTGGAATTTTGATTTATTCATCAATTTCTTAAAATTCTCATGTATTTGTATATATGTGTGCATATGCATATGAACATGTGTGAATATGTACTCTTAGTAGTGATGAATAAATATTATTATTATTATTATATTATTATTATTATTATTATTATTAATTGATATAATACTACCCAATTAGTATTATCTGCCATTGGTGTCACACCAATGTTAGGGTTTCAAATGATATATCTGTACTCGTTCAATGAAGTGGTACAGAAGGATTACTTTCCATCTCCTGTATTGTGTCTCATGTTTTTTATTCAGCTATTTAACATTATGCCTCTTTGAATAGCGTAAATTGAGATGTTCGAGGTACTCACTCTACTCTACTCAGCCCTAACGCTGGCCGTTTACTCGTATACCGTTCGTGTGACGTAGATGGCACGAGCGGTGACATTAAATGAAAGTATCAGTTATGATATGTGCTCACCAAAGTAACCAGCATCAAAGTAATCCAGAATTGGTGGAAGTGTTCCATGCCTAGCTGGTTGGTCTGGATGTTCAAAACCTGGTCGATGTGTCTCAGTGATCATATCAATTTTGTTATAGAGGTTTTGGCGGAATTCTTCAACATTCCTGCTGCTTGGGAAAACTCCAGAAATTCCTAGAATACAGAACAGGATACAGAGCATTGATTTCAATTTACATATTTTCATCTACTCATGTCGCTTTTGCCGACTTGCCGTGAATTTATCAAGAGGCATCAGTTAAGTAACTGGTACCTCTCGATAAATTGTACATAGGGATAAATCTCTCCAAAGCCGACGGCTTATTTGTATCAATATGGCAAGAGGAAGCAAACATATTGTCAGGAGTAGAACATGCGGTATGTTAGTGATTTCAAACCATGAGGGTTTCATAAACATAAAGTTAATCATATCATCCGTTGACATTGAACTATGAAAACTGACCAAGGAACTCTCATGAGAAACGTGCAAGTCTAATAAAATGATGCATGAGGGTTCCGAAATTATTCTGGTCTGGGGCTATTCTGAACTTGACAAGAACCCGTCAATATGGTAATTTTAATGTAAATTATTATTAGGTGCTTATATATCCATTATTATTCTTTCATATTCATCATCACTTCACCCATGATGTTTCGTGTTATAATAAATATTGTTATCTTTGAATATAGTTTCGTACTTTCAGTTCTTATAAATCGATATGAAATACCAACCCCAAGTTGTGACATAATGAAAGTCATACCACTTTGTCATTACATGGTGGGAAAAATACCTTTTTATCGTGACATGGATGGACTAATTTACTATTGAAGCGTGATATGGGGTTCGAAATTACTAATATACCATATGTTCTACTCGTGACATGTTCCACAGATCTTCGCAGCAAACTCCGTCCGTTGAAAGTCGAATGCCTGAAATCGTGTTCCGTTCAAGCACGATCAGACCCATTTAGCTTGGTCTTCAAACGGATGAGGCTAACGGTCCTAATGGAGTTCCACCAAATATCTGGAAAGCCCAGAAATCATCAATGATATACAACTTTTGCCATCAGAGATCAACTGGAGATTTACGTCTCCGACATATGGAAAGTTTGATTAGACAAACATGGATAATCTCTAGCTGTGGCGTTAGATATATCGAAAGCATTCAACTGTGTTTGGTACCAGAAACTTCTCCACAAACTACCATCATACAGCTTTTACCCTTCCATCTATGCCAACTTTCATCGAGTTCAGTTTCAGGCAGACCGCTTCATGTGGTGATGGACCGAGTATAGTCTGATACCATAATCATCAATTCCGGCGTTATACAAGGCACCAATATTGTTCCTACTTCATATCAATGATTTTTTGGGAGCAACCACTTGCCCTTGCCACAACTTTGCATGTAGAACTCTCCATACTGCAGTCTCTTCCAGAATTCCCATATCTTCTCAGGAAACTGAGAACTCACAACGTAGGCCGGTCAAGGCTATAAATGAAGATCTTGCTAAAATTACAGTCTGGGGAACCAATAACCTTGTTGAATTCAACGCCATCAAAACTCAAGTCTATTTTCTCTAGAAAGGCGGAGCTCAGTATGCCTGATATATCAATGTCTGGAACCACATCTGCAATACTCTTTTATAGGAAAATTATGTCAATCCATCGCGAAAGCTGCTTCACTAAAACTCGAATTTTTATTATGTGCTAGAATCAACTGTTCCGTTCATCTCCTCTGTTAGGTCCATTTATGTGAACTCAAAATAATAATGAATGTCTATGCATTATCTGCTATCCGTGTTCGGCTCACTGTATATCTGAGAATTGAATTCGCGCATCAGGTCTTTGGGATTTTACATGCCTTAGATCTTTTCCAAGTAAAAGTTCCTCAACAATAATCAAATTTCCGTCCTCCAGACGTTGAATGAATATTTAGTGTATAATTAAGTATTATTAGTTATCTCTTGTGACGCCGGTGAATCACTAGTTCCTGAGGGAAGAACCTTTATCCCAGACGTCCAGTCCAGACCGCCAGCCGGCCCGTCAAAGCATAATCTCACGAAATAACCATAAGATAATTCGATTTTGCCTCCAGTCAATTTTTTTCCCCTGAGACTGGGATTCACCCATTACGTAACACCTACTTTACACCTCAACAGCTTCTCATGATCTATTAAGCATAGATACAATATATTCTAGAATAGTGTTACCACATATATGGGGATCAGCATCCAGAGAACAGCCATTCGCCTGGTGGTGCCACACTCACTAATTCTTTCACTCTCATTGGAACACCGTAGAAAAGTCGGTCATTTTTCACTCTTCTATAGACACTTCCACGGGAAATTTTATTCAGAAATCTCTGCAATCATTCCATCACTAGCAATGCTAGTCAGACGAGCTCGACAAGCTCAGTCAGCACATCTCTTTTCGTCGTCATCCTTGAGATATGTCGAGCAACTCTTCATGAGAACTGGTTTGTCTATACAGAACGGCAAAGCTTTGGAATTCTCTACCAAAGGAAGTATTCCGAAGAACTTATCTCCATTATCTCTATACATTAGTGCCATCATCATCAAATTGTTAACTTACCAGAAATGACAATTTTGTCTCCAGCGGCAGTATGAGACATATGGTGTCCATATTTCAAGTGGATTTCTTCAGGTACCATATCTGCTGGATTTCCACTATCCATTATTGATGGCATCTGAAAAAAAAAAAGAATTTTCTATATGTATTACTTTCTCGATCCTATGAAACTCCGAGTTAACTCGAAAAGTATGATGTTTCCGTCTTCAAATTGAACAGATCGTCCAGATAGGAAAAGAGTGCGAAATTATACATTCTATTGTGAACTTAGTTGAATGTAAGATAAATAATTTATGATCGGCGAAGTTAATTTCATGATTAATTATACAGACGTATGTATTCCATTATGATAATCGTGTAAATGAAAAAGTAATTTTGATATACCATGTTTTCAGAATGTGAAAAGTGGGAAATAAAATTTCTTTCAACCACACATTTGAAATCCTATATAGATGATCCTGAAAATCAGTGATTGTGATGAAAATACTCGTAGCAATTTTCCTCAATGACACCTTCTTTAATTCTTTGCAGGCGCTCATCATGTTTTTGATGGTTTGTTCAAATCTTGCAAGTATCTGGTTTGGTAACGAACCTTTGTGCAGCTGGGAGACTTATGCTTCTCCTATTTCGAGATCATTTTGTTAACGTGGTGAGAATATATATTTTTGTTCAATAATTATTCGCTTTTCCAAATCTTTCGTCGAATATGTGGGTATATATGGAATTTCATAATCGATTCTGAACATCTTATAAAGGGTGATCCATGCTGTAGCAATAGGCAAATGAACTAATTCTTGAAGAGGAATATTCTCAGATATATTTATGAACACAAAAAAATGGATATATATTTAAAGAAATACATTGAGAATTCGCATTCTCCATGTGATGAAAATATCAATTCTTTCTCGGTTGATTCAACAGAAAACAACTACTTTCCTGTTGAATAAAACGAGGAAGAATTAATATTTTCATCACATGGAGAATGTGAATTCTCAATGTGTTCCTTTTCAATACTTCAAACCAATCAAGAGGTTCAAACTTGAACGATGGAAATTTGTTTTTTATAGACCTCAATCGCAGATTCGTGATTAGATTTTCTCAATTTCTTTCCTCGTCCTGTATGATGAATATCAATTTATCATACATCCAAAAAGGACTAATTCTTGTTTATTTCTCGAGTAGGATCATCACTCAAGAACCTTTCCATTTTTTATATTTCTTTAAAATTCTTCTGTCCATTTTTAGGTGCCAAAATCATCAATAATCCTACGGTAATTTTCAAACGGCGAGTAAAATCAGAATATTAGTTATTTGATAATTTATAGATTTTTATTTATGTATGGGTCATATGCCTAATCAGCAATAAAAAATCAATTATCCTAAATTGTTTCCATATGATTTGTGCCTTATTGCTTATAATGAATTTGTGTACATAATAACTAAATTAATTCACACTGGAGGAATTTGAAGCGGTCAACGTGACAACACGGCGCACGAATTGTGGGCGTGGTCTTATCAGTTATCAACATTCAGCACAATGTTGCCAAGTATTCAACATTTACATGCTATTTTGTATGGAGTATAAAACATATTTGGACATGCTGGTTGCTCCAAAAAGTCAAGAATGCACTATAATATCATCTTTTTGATTCTGACTTGAATTTAAATGGTGACTTGACAACCTTGCTTAGTGAGTGAGTATGGAAGATTATCTGACTAATAACGAAACAGCATAAAAACTGATGTCACCATTGCATAGACTCATTATTTACATAAAAAAGTATAAAAAGTGTTGCAAAAATTAATTTAGGTCCCTAACGACACAGTGGTGTACTTGAATGCTAATAATTCATTTCAGTCCACTCGCCCAAAATGAAATCAGACACATAAAATTCATCTACATTGTATTGGTAACAAGTTGGACAGGGGAAAGAAAATTCACATATAAATAGTTCCCCTGTCAAATATTTCAGCTATATTGAATACAATGATGCCACATTTTCACAATGCCATGTAGATTGTATTCAGGAATTATATAAGTCAATGTTTCGGAAGTATCTTCTCGAAAATCATGACTGGTCCTGGAATTTCCAACATCTAATATGGGGCTTTATCCCAGCTCTCGTTGTATATGGAATTTTCCACTTCACATTATTGAAAACCTAATGTAGCTATTTGTATCATGATTAGTTAGTGGTTGAAAGATCCGTTATTTCAATCATATGAGGGAGGAAAATATCCTTACTGCATTAGAAAGAAGACTATTTCTTCTAAATAATCTAACCTAACGCGGCCCGATAAACAGTGTGACCAAGATAAGGTTGAATAGGAAAAAAGTTGCTCATTCCGAGGGTCATACCAACGGCCTCCTAAAAATTTCAAAATTGTGTATGGTTTTTCAGTTATGACGGAAAGGGTGGATTTTACGAAAATCCAGTTGATTTGTTTTCTCCGTTATTATCAGAGATACAAAAAACTGAGAATAATTTCTCGTAGCAACTTTCGATGAGATTTAACGTGGTGAACCATGTAAGGATATAAATGATATTTGTATAGATAATAATTTGATAGATGGGTGGTAGGATGTTGAGTGAAGTTTATTCTGAAAGTTATGAATAATAAAAGTCATGACAACAACAACTAGTACATATCACAGTGATATTGACTTCTCTACGCGACGTTTCGTAGTCGTAGAACCATCATCAACTCTATATTTTTCAGATGCCATCCTGATTATGTGTTCCCAGATTCTGATAGAATGTGTTTTCGACCTAGATTCACATAATTTCAATATTATCCAGATGAATGTCGTTATAACCCTAACAACACAGGGATGTCCTAGGTACGTCCCTTTTTTGTCCCGCGGTACAAGGACATGATTGGGATATCCATGGGAAGTCCTGCAGTGGTTGTCCAGTGGACATCCCGCCCGGTACATCCCTAGGTTATCCTATTCGTGTCCCTGGAGTATCTGATATCCATTCACATCAGAGTCATTGAATTTCATCAAACTATTGAGTTGAATTTTTTTGAAAATGTTCGTTTCTCTTCCGGAAAATGATTGTAATGAAAATAAAGAATGAAGTTTCAGAAATTCTTAAGAAATTTCCATTTATCGCAGACAGAAATTGTACATGCATAATGCCCCTCATTTTTAAACACCCAAGAATGATAATAATTATGTTCAGTACATAAATCTTCAGGAAGCATGATAGCCAATGGAGCAAGGTGCGTGCATGATAAGCCAAAGGTCCCGGGTTCAATCCCTACTCGACCTGCAACTTTTTTCTTTTGTCGAAAGGATGTCCCTGGGATATCCTTGGGACGTCCTAGGGATATCCTTTCATCGTACTTGGTACATCCCAGGGACGTACCAGAAGGACTTCCCTTGGATGCCTTTTTTAGCGGCCAGCGGATGTCCCTGGGACATCCCTAGTATGTACGTTGTCCCGACAAAGGACATCCCTGGGATGTCCTAGTATAAAATCAGGGACGTCCATGGGAAGTCCCTAGGATGTACTGGTGTTGTTAGGGAATAAGCTTGAACAAGAATTTGATACCTAATCATAAACTTTGTTAGATTAAGAAGTTTGAAAAATTCATTTCTTACGAATGCAACACCCAATATTTTGTATCGAATTCGAAATATAAGTATACCGTATACCTATTTTCAACGATTTCCAATAAATTCGCAATCTCTTGCAAATTCAGTTCTTGGTCGTTATCAGGAGATTCAAGTTATAAATGTCACACTCACGAAACCAGCAGTATCTATCACAGTGAACAGACAATAATCTTTTGGTTCCATAGCACACAAACTATAGATAACGTCTTTTCATTCTCCATGGAACTGCGTTGAGAATAAACAACTTAGTGATCATTAAAAGCCACTCCCCATCCACCAAAAACCCTTGAGATAATCCCATTGCAACTTACTTGGCTGACTGGTAGACAACAACTATCAATATTTCTTTGGGGTTGAGTCTCCTGTAAATATTCGTAATACACCAATAGAAAAACTCGATGTTCATTGGAAATTCATGGTATTTTTCGACTGCATAATCAATGGGAAATAGGTGTAATAGGTGAAAGTTGTTGCTGAATTAAATCATACATCTATACAGGATGGTATAAAATTAATTCCATGTTTGAAATTTGATTTTATTGTAATAGATATTAATCTGATTTTGTCATGTAGTTTGGTACTTTTCAAAACTGATGAGAGTTTTGAAATGTCCCATTTTACGTAACCAGTTGTGTAAAGTGAAATATTACATAACTGATGGTGATAAAATGTTCGTTTCGTTATCAGCTATGAAATAATTATATGGATGGACGAAGAGAATAGTACTTTTTGTGCTGCTTCCTCTATAGGTATCTGAACTGGTATCAACCATTTTCCACTAATGAATATATCAAACTGGTTAATTTCGTGAATTTCGTCGTACATTTATGACCGTATTATTGTGTGACGAAAACTTCAAAGTGACGGGTGGCGTCAACTTGTCAACTGAATTTTCTACATAATCCATATAGCACTCATGTAGAACTGTAAAAATGTTTCATCAAAATGAGAAAATAGAATGTTGTTTAATTAACGAGCCCGGAATGATAGTCATACGAATGGGAATTTAGCATTCCGTGACCTACACTCTACGACTGTAACAGATAACTGGGAAATTTGATATCTGCGGCTTGAATAGCCATCTGATTTTCTCTTGAGTAATGGTCATCTATTAGACAGAGCTGTCATTGCTTGGAATATTTCATGGGAGATTTATCGAACACAGTAAAACAAGAACAATTTTGTGTTATAGCCGTAGAGAAACGCATTTTGTGTACAGCTTGACCATTCTAGCTTGGCCTCTGAGAGTTGGATGCGCAGTAAACCAGTCGGCGGAGTGTGGCGAGGGCTCATTATTGTCGAAGGATTGGTTCAGTGAACATCGGTTGGAACAGTACAGTACGATTATCCTTTTCGCACACTTATCATCTCTGTTTATAGTTTGTGCATCTCAGGGGCCAAGGTAGAGGGGTCAAGCTGTAACTCTGTGTTTTGCTTCGCTCGTCCAGCGAAATCCGATCGTCACACAAAATGAAGCTCTTCCTAACTGGTACCGTAAATATCTATTATGTAACCAGTTAGGAAACGCCCATCTTCTACTACTATTACGCAACATTTCACGTGAAGTACGACGTTTCAGAACTCCTGTCTGTCTGTTCAGAGAAGTGTCGAATTACAAAATCAGAAGACCTATTTTTTTCAAACATATTTTCACAACCTTGATGGAACAAAATCAGCTTATTGTGCTTTCTGAATATGCATAGCGTGATGACCTACCTGGAGTTTCCCAAAATATCGAACCTAAGTGGAAAATATTATAGTCGTAGAGAGAGTATAGTACAGAGTCAGAGTTGGAATGATCTCATTTTGAGAAAACTTTCGAAGATGTTTATCCCTTCGTCAGTCTGTATATGTATAGATACTTCATAGTCTCATGGTAAAATACACTGTGCAATCAGCTTTGGTATTTCAGTATAACTAATGTACCCACCCTGTAAAGTAATGTTTCTAATTTAGTATAATAAATCGAGTTTGTGCGCAAAATGGTAGTGAACTAGTGATCTACTGACCCATATCAATATACAGTCGCATTGTTGATTGTTTCATGGATAACTAGCTCTGTTTCGCACAAATAATCTGTCAGAACAGTTTTTGAAATAAAAACTTTACATCAGTTTGTGGATCTACTCATAGATATCATCATCTTTCGATGACAAAATCTGAGGATAAATTTGATTCCAAGTATATTCTATCAAATTCTATCAGTCAAGGATATAAGTATTGATTCGCAAAAAACATGATTTTTCTGGTCTATTGGAGTAGTTATCTATTCTTCCTACGACTACTTCTGTGAATTGGAATAGGTCTCTTCATTTAGATGACAAATAACTATCTTTGTTTACATCTCGCCTCCAACGACAGTGGCGACGAAAAAAAATTTTTTTTCAAAGGAATTGTTGTTGACATTTTGACATTGACATTATTCAATGTTGATCAGGATAATTATGTCGATGCAGAAGAAAAATCAAATTGATATCATGATGAAGAACTCAGGAAATAATGGTACAAAAGATATGCAAGGTATCTACAGCAGAATGATCAAGTAATAACAGTTCTTGTCTAGTTTTTATTCCCCACTGAGCACCATTGACGACACGAAAAATAAAACAACAACTATACCAGGAGAATCTCATTCTCAGTGAAAAAACTCTATGGCTTAGGAATTTACCAAAATGAAGGAAAAGTCTCACTACCTGATTAGGTAATATGTGGTAGGTCTAATCTTCATGACGTATTTTTTATAATGTAACTACACTCTCAATCTCGAGGCTTATTTTCGATGCTGTTACTGTAAGTGGAAGCAAAGCTATAATTCTACTGATAATTTTTTGGAATTATTTGCCAATGGAAGTATTCCCAAGAAATTATAAAAGTTGAAAATTCCAGCACCTATACCTCTCCTCCCTATCTTCCCTGGGTACGCACGATGTTCCACGAACATTATAGGAATTTCCTTTCGTGCCCTTCAAGAGATGAAAAAGAGTTAGGTACTAGGTACATTTCTAGTTGTGTAATATACGATTATCAATCACTCAGCAACCAGATGTGACAAAGCAGGCACAAAGTCGAACAAAATGGGCGCCAGTGACTGCAGAGGAGGTTTCAGGGGATGGCTTTTTGGACAGTAGTTCGTAACAAAAACAACGTTTTGGTAAAGTAGCTGATATCCTTTTGATTCAGTGCAAAATATCCGCCTAAAGGAGTTCAATTATCTCCAATCTTGTTCGTATCTGAATAACAGGTACATCGGCTCACGCAAAATAAATCTCTTGGTGCACAGAAAGTACCACTACCAGAGAAGTACTAAGAATCAGATTGCCTACTCAGGGATACAATGGGCCACCAGGTCTAAAAGTGTCATCGGAGACTTCGAGCAGACCAGCCTTGAAAACGAGTGGATAGATTCGTGATAGAGTCTCAATTCAGAATTCCTTTCCACGCCCTGTATGATGAATATCAATTTATCATACACCCAAACACAAAAACTTGAAAACCCTTGATATCGATTTCAATGTTTCGTTCGCCTGAATGAATAATGTATTGCTTCAATTAAACTGTTGCGAATAAGTAAGTACATAAATCCATTGTTCATTGTTCATGTTTTTCCCAAATCGTTAGTTATCGAGTTGTATGAAATTATGTCGTTACGTAATAGCTTTGAGTATTCAACTAGTGTATATAATCAAGGGTAATAGGTATCGGATGTTTACTAATATGTTGGATCACCACATACAGAACGTGAAAATTTATATGAATGAAAAAAAAATTGAGTCTCCTTAAAAATTATTTAGCGATATATTTTCACTATACCCAATAAAAGCGATAAAATGAATTGAATCATTAACGTTTTTGAATAATATCAATTAATAATTGTTCGTGTGGAATATGGAATGAATCCAGCTATAATATGAGGTAACTGAATAACGTTGATGAATAAGGCACTCCAACGACCTGTCAAACTATGTGGTGGTTATATCACCATGATGCCAAGCAATAATACTAAGGATAAAGAATTGTTTTTCATATTAAGCGATCGACATTCTCCTCGTATTAGAAATACAACTATTAGGATCATATAAAATCACAAGAGGAAGGAGTTTTTTATTGCAATTGTTGTTTCATTCTATTGATTTTTTACAGGGTGTGAATGAATAAATGCGAAATTCACGAGGTGATCGAAATTGAAATGAAGTTCATTATAAGCTTGTGACCTGACTTGCTTGGTTTTTGTTGGAAGTATCAATTATTTTTATGACCTCCTTGTATAAACATTTATGGTACCTACTATAAGTTCATTATAAGCTTGTGTCCTGACTTGCTTGGTTTTTGTTGGAAGTATCAATTATTTGTTATGAACTCCTTGTATAATCTTTTATGGTACGTACTATAATTCAGTCTGGTTAGTGACTGTTGAAGTCTCACAATTTCAGAATGATACTTATTGAAGTTATTGAGCAAATTCGATGGGTGTCAGAGCATCTACATTAAAATGCGGGGTCAATTCGAATTTTTATTGTTTGCTGAAATCTCAAGAACTGAACGAGATTCAATGAAAGTAACAAGTTAAATAAGAATGTTGTATTTTAATTGTTCATTTCAATAAAAATATGATATTCAGAAACGCAAGAGACGTACAATAAGGCTGCATATAATTCGTCAGAACGTATTTTATCAACACCGTATTATATCAAAATATATTCGATCAAAATGGTAATTCAACAGAACCGTAATTTAACGGAGCAGTAATTCATCGGCAAGCAAAACATCATAATGTAATCTATCATGTTGTAAAATGAAGGAATGTACTTCATAAGAACGTAAAACATCATACCGTACTTTATAGAAATGGTAATTCATCATAACCGTATTCCATCAGAATGGTATTTCATCAGAATCGTATTCTGACAGCACGGTGAATCAACAAAACCGTATTGAATGAGAGAGGCAATTCATCAGAACCGTATTTCGTCGCTTCAGTAATACATCATAATGGTAAATCGTCATGATGGTAAATTATCAGAACTGTAATCCGTCGGAATATTATTTTGTCAGCAGTGTATAGTATCGGTACTGTAAAACATCATAACCGTATTTTAACATAACTGTAAATCATCAGAACTGTGTTTCATAAGAACCGTAATTCATCGCTTCCGTATTCCATCAGCATATCAATGTATCATAATCGTATTCTATCAGAACGCTAAATCATCATAACCGTATTTCTTCAAAACCGTATTCCATCAGAACCGTATTGTATCAGCACAGTATTTCGTCAGAATGGTAATCCATCGTCGGTACAGTGCCCTATCGGGAACGGAGTATCGATTTTCTGTCCGCT